GCTACAGTTTAGTGTTTCTTAATCAATAGAAGATAGAGCTTATTAAGATCACCCTGTTTATTAATTTAACATTTTTGGCCCATTAAATCATTTCTGATCATTACTTTTATTAAGTCCCCCAGTAATTGCATATTGAGAAAAGTTCAACCCCATTTGGTATTCGGCAACCAAGTCTTCCTTCCTGCCTAATAATTCTTCTTCACACTCCTCCCCAGTCTTTTAAACAGGAGTATAGGTTTATCTCTTGTTTCTGGTTTAGGATTGGGTTTTCGATCTTCTCATTCTCTATCATCTCCTAGTAACCCCTTGCATCGTAGTGGCATTATTGCCTTGCTCAGGGCAAATTGAAAAAAAAAAAAAAAAAAAAGAGCTTAGTGACTTCAACAATTCATTTTTTCATTGAAATCAAATAATGCAGCTAGAGATGTACAAGAACATTCTGGAAATTTCTTGGTCCAACTCAGAATCCCTTTAAGATAGAAAAAAAAACAGTTTTGTATATACTTGTGTAATGCGCGATCTCGTATATCGTGTGACTCCCAAATTTTCACTTATAAAAAATGATTTTATCATGTATATCATGAGAGTTCCTTTTTCCACAGACCAAATTAGACTAACTGCTTTTCCTCTATCTCTTAATCCCATCTTCTAGTTAAATAAGTTAAAATAGTAAAAGAGAATGATAAAAGTAACATTAGTAATGCTATATTCATTGAGTAAATTCATACAGACATAAACAATGGAATAGATGCATATTCGCTGTTTGATGTGAATATTACATGCATTATTATGAGATAAGTAAAACATCAGTTTTATCAAAATCATGTTTATTTTAAATACAGTTGAATTTTTTGACTACAGTAAATGGATATATAGTTTGGTCAACGGTGTAGCCAGGGCCAGCAGTACATACACTAAATTTATATCTAATGTAGGTCTTCAAAATCGCATGATACGCAAGTATACATGGTAATTAGATTCTGGGAAATGGATAAGGCCAAGAACTTTTCAGCACTCCCTCTCATATGCATGTGTGACCAAAATTTTACTGAATGACAAAATCATAGCAGTTAGATTTGGGCACTTCAACATGATGTAATCATTAGCGAGTTTGTCATGCTAGAACCATTACAACTAAGTAGTGAGTTCATTCCTCACTGGGTAACTCAGGCCTTCATCTTTGCACCACATCTAACCTACACTTAGAAAATCACCCAAGCAGTTGAATTAAAGGATTTGTCAAGTGTTAGAACAGATTTCATGGGTCATGGAGTTAGGATTACTCCATTGAAATTCAAGAAATCATTTCTAATACTTTATTATAATTAAAAAAAAAAATTATATATTAAAAAATATTAAATAAAGTAGTAAATGGGAATAAAATCTTTTGATTAAATTATAGAACTTGTATCTATTTTTAAATTGTTTTTTATTTTTTAAATTGAGAGGAAGAATAATATATATATAAAAAAAAGTCCTGTGACGATTCTATTTGAGATGTTACATGCATACATTGACATGACAAAAGCAATATGTAAAAGTAATAGCATCCTGCAAAATGCCTAGACCCAGATCAGTTGTGCTCAGACATCTGGTGTAACCCATCAATAGGTTATTCCAGCAAGAAAATACAGTGTCATTGTACCCAAATTGTCTAGAATTGGTTTGCAGGAACATTCTAGAGACATCCAATGGCAAAGTCTCCATATTCACTTGACATCAAGTATTTTGGAACATGACAGAGATTTATTCACATGCAAGATCCTTCACCCATAAATAACATTGAGCTGCAAATGGCTAGTAGGATGCCATGGCTCAACATCTCTCCAGATGCCTTCTGGCCACTTGTGAAGTTGAGTTGCTGCACTTTGCTGAGCTAGAGGGTGTCCTGTTAAGCACTGTAATCAGTAGTGGAATCCTAAATTTCCAGGAACCAGTTATATAATGGCAGGTAATCTTTTGGAACCTATTCTACTTATTTTCTTTTCAATCTGGGAATGGAAAAAACTCACATTATAGTATAAAAAAGAATTAAACCATTTTGATAATAGAAAACATTTATTTATTAAGATATTTCCTGATTGAATTTCTCTTATCATATTTCTGTTCAGAAGTATGATGCTTTTTGACTCTAGTGTAATCAGCTGTGTTATGATTTCTTAGCTATGTTTGAATTGAATCACTGCAGTCCCAAATATTCAAAGGAAGACCTCTCAAATTTATGACTAGAAAATTTGCCCAATTTTTTAATTTTTTTTTCACTAGGTGCATGAATGAGCATAGCATAACATTTTACCTAGACCATCAGCCATTAATATATAAAATTATTTTTGGATAATCCAACAACTGGTTCACTAAGCTTTTATAATTTTTTCACACAAACTGTTAGGATGCCATGACTGACTGTAAGCGATTACTTTTGGCACATCAGTACCTGTGTAGGTATTAGAGTAACCCATGACCCATACTTTTTTGTTGTAAGGAGAGAGATGCTATGGTGATGGTTTTAATGATGATGATGGTAAAAACAGTTGTTTTTAGGTCTTTGCAACATTTTTATAAAAATTATCCAGTTAAAAAAAAATAAAAAAATATTTTCTACTTTGAAAATGGAAATGCTTAAATATATATTCTTTCATCCAATCTTCAATTTAATTTTCCATGCATACAAAAAAAAAATGTTAATGAATAAAAAGTCAAACTATATCAAAATTCCATCTTCCCTCTGTGCTTTTATGAGTGTAGCATATTTAGAAAATAAAACCAGAAAGAATGGAGATACATAAATCTGTTCCAAAGTAAAAAAAACAGAGAACAAAGAATGGCAACAATCTATATTTTTTATTATTATTATTCCAAATGGCCTCCGTCCATTGACAGTTCAAAAGCAACCAACAATGTACATGAATTGTATCAGATTAAATTTGTTCCTGTTACATGCAAATTTTGTTTTCAACAAAAAGAAGGTTGATTTAATCAGTTTGTGAGTGAAAAGGAGTAATCGTGACCCCACAGATATGTAGGGAGCTTTTTCTTCAGAAAGAAAGAAAGAGGAAAAAAAAAAAAAAAAGCCAGTGGAATGTTCTATCTTTTGGTCTGTTCTGGGAATCCAGAATACCTCCCCAATCAACATGCAGAGGAATCCAAGGAAATTTATCATACAAGGTTAGGTTATTTTATTTACACATATATGAAGGTGGATTATTATTATTATTATTGGTTATGTATGTTGTAATTTCTTGCAAAATGAAAGATGTCTTAGTGAACACAGAACTACAACCGCATATTTTTTGAAGTTTAAATATATTTTTAGTGGCATATATTTGGGATTATTATTATTTAATATTATTAATAATATTATAATTTAACTTAAGGGGCAAATTATGTTTACCCTCTGCCCTTAAGTATCAAATTTTTTTTTCTTTCAACTGCCAAAAATTTAGACAAGCAATTTTAGTGATTATGTCCCTTCCAACCCAAAGAAATAATTACTGCCACATCTTTGTTTATACAATTAAGATCCAACAGTCAAGCAAGCCTCAAAATTAAAGAAGAAAATGCATACCATGCATAGGTTCATAGGCCAGCAAAATTTGAGGGAAAGGAGATATTTGAATCAAAACAAAAAGAAAAAAAAATTTTGATAAGAAATTTTTCTTTCAAAACCGTTTAAATCCCAATGTAAACGAAAACATTTTTAAACTTTTTTTTTTATTTCTATCCAAGAAAATATTTTTAACCAAAGTAGAAAAATAAGATAAATTAATATCAGTTTTACTATTTTAGCAGAGCATGCCACAATTGCCAAGAAATTTACAGTAGCAGACCAATTCCACAAAAAAAACAATGTAAATTTGAGTCTTCCATTTTTTTTTTCATTTTTCAATAGTTCCAGAAAAGGAATGTTGATACATTTTTTCTTTAATTTTTTTTTTTTTTTTTTTTTTTTTATAGCACCCTACTTCCAAAATTGATAGGATTTTTGTGATTTTTAAGTAGCTTTTTAGAACTAATGAACCCTTTCTTAATTTCATCAACAAAATTTACATAACAAAAGTTATGGAGAATTGGTGTTGACAGCATTTTGCATTATCCTAGTAACTCTGAACAAGATAGGGTTAATTATTTTTATTTCCTTTTTTAATTGACAATGTTTGAATATGTTTCTTTTTTGTTTTTAACTTTTGATACTGTTAATATAAAAACCTTAAAAAAAACTATGAAGTAGAAATATCCGTTTATGACAATCTGATTTTAAAATCTGTCAGTCTAGAAAATTCTTTGCAGCTAGCGGGATTGTTACCACACTGTAGTAAGTCATGCAGAGAAGCAGATTTTATTTTTATTGTTACCTTATTAAAATTTGTAAGTGGAGTTTTCTGATATTTTTAATGGCCTTAAAAAAAAAAAAAAAAAAAAAAAAACACATTGAGAAAAGGAAAAAGGAGATAGAGAGAGAGTTATAGAAAATTTTTAAACAGTTATATCCAAAACAAAGTCAAATAAGTTTTTGAAACTGTAATTGTCAGATGTAGTGAGCCTGTAAGTTTGACAGAGAACATAGGGAGTTCTCCCAAATTTAACAAATGCAATATTAGGAGCGTCTGATCAGAGGGAGGGCCTCCATGAATTAATTGGCCGGATAGTATAAATAACAACATTGTAAGTAAATAAATTTCTTTCAAAAGGAGTTGCTGGCCCTTTGTCAGTTGCTGTCCTTAATTTTTTACAATTTAGTGGCAGATGGTTGAAAGAGAAAAAAATATTTAAAATAAAATCAAGGGAAATATTTACTTTGATAATTTAATGTTTAAATGTTAACAACCATGACCAAAATGCCAACATTGCCTTTCAAAAGTTGATGTTTTCTTCTGCCATTTTATACTTTAGTTTATTTTACACCTGATAATGTAAAATAATGTTGTGTAAAACACAGCGCAAATAATATATTTTCACACAATAGTGCAAAAGAATTACAATCAATGACAATTGCCAGGATTTTAGTCAGACTCTGATTCCTCATTGTCTGTAGAATAGTCAGAATCACCACTGGCTTCTTCTTCCTTTTTGTCATCATCGTCGTCGTCATCGGAAATCTCCCACTGGGGATGGTCCTGAATGATTTTGGCTTGTTTCACATCAAGCTGCAGTAAGACAAAAAAAAGAAAAATATTCAAATTCAAAAAATATTTTTTTCAGGGCAAGCTGAAAATATTCTCACTCATCTCAAAGAAGCTTATCCTAAAAGTTACCAATATTGAGTCAGTTTTTATAAAAACTTTTCTATAAATTTCCTACTAAAAGATAAAAGTCTGAATATCACTTTCCATATGCCGATTAATTGCCATAAATGCCTGCATATAAATCAATTTGTATAAGCATAAAAAAAAATCTCAGAAACTAAGAGTTGACTCATAGGCTAAGCATAAAATCTTTTTAGACATAGCAATTCAAAAATAAGACTGAAACACATATTGAATTCAAAAATACTGCTACCAGTAGATATACTACTGTTAGGTAACCTATGGATTCTATACAAAAGTTTTAAGTTTTTTATAGTAAATTTTTTTGTATTTTATTCAAGTAATCAAAGTATGTGTTTCTATGTTTTATATCTTTTTTGGATTTAGTTATAAATAAAATTTATGTTGCACTTTGTATAATTATATACAAAACAAAATAAGCTCAAACTTGAAAAGGGAATCTACTTTATTACCTGTAATAATTGCCACAAGGAATACATTGGAAAAAACCTCAAAAAACATTATTTACATTATTGGGACTATTGTCCTCATCTTTGTCGGCATATTTATTACGTATCAACCACTGTACGCTCCTGCCTTCTTCAGGTGGTTGGAATATTGAACTGAACCCTTTATTTCGCTCACTGGGGTAGACTGTTCTAGTTCCACGTGCCACGTTTAATAGATGTCAGTTATCAGTTATCTCCTGTTAATTTCCCTCTGAAAGTTCTCCACTGCCTTAACCGGGTATTGAACTCACACTCTTTGGGTCCTGTCACTGGATCTAACATCCATTAAACATAGCACATGGAACTAGAACAGTCTACCCCAGTGAGCGAACTAAAGGGTTAATTCGACATTCCAACCACCTGAAGAAGGCTGGAGCATACAACGTCCGAAACATTGTAATAAATATGGTGACAAAGATGAGGACAATATTGTAAATAATGTACATAATACCTCATCTCAGAAATATAACCTCAAAGAATTTAGATAAAAGATTATATGAACACAAAAGTGATTTTTTACAATAAATTTTTTTAGACTTACCACAATTTTGATATAAAAAAAATGTTACTCTAATTAAAAAGAAGAAAATTCATTAAGATGAAAATTGTTTAGAAAGAGCTTTATTTGCTAGACCATCCACAGTAAACTTACATCCAGGTTCTTACAATGTTTTACCATTGTTGGCAGATCTTCTATTATCATAATGTGGAATATTTAATAACAAAAGTGATGGAAACATAAACAAAAAGAAAAAAATCTAAATTAAATTATCTAGATTATAGTTCCAAAATACATTTAAAAAATACAGTAAAGAAAAATATTTTAAATTAAAAATTCTCAGCGTTTGTCTTTCGTTTGTGTGTATGTGTAATCATATCAATGTAAAGTCTGATGAAGTCCCAAAAATGAAATGCATCACACAAAACTTTTTCCATTTGTATAATAAAACCTTATCCCCTCCCAAAAACCCCAACTCAATATTTATAGCAAGGATAGATATTATAAACAGGTACTCACATGATATATTTCAGAATGAAAATTTTAACATGGATTATTTAATACCAATTTTATTATGAAAACATTGGCTTGCATAAGAAAATCTAGTTTAGAGAAATGTGTGTGTGTGTGTCTGTGTGTGTGCAGTCAAATTTTATTATCAGCCAAAAGCTAAATTCCAAAAAGGAAATATAACTGCAAATAAGTTGAGATCAATGAATTGTATTTGAGTTTATTATGCACATAATAGCTGTGCCCTATTAGTAATCTTCAAATTAATTCTTGTCTACTGAAAATGCTTTGCTCTCTGATTTTCAAAATTATGTACAATGAATTTCTCATAATATCCCTATTCTAACAGAGTGACTTCCATTAATTCCTGACCCTTGACAATCACATTTTGCCTCATTTTAAATGTACAACATACAGAGGTTCAAATGTAATCAGCACTAAAAATATAACTGATTATTGTTTGATTTTGGGTTTTCTTTTTGTTTTTATAATCGTAAGTTTCATAAATTCTATCTGTGATATCACAAGTTACATAAATAGCTAATATTTAACATTTGTTAGATTTCCTGTGAATTGTACATTAACAGTTGCTTCAATCAGGTTTATCATAAAATATAAAAAAAAAAAAAAAAATTCAAATTTTTTTTTCTTCTAGCTACTGAGCATTTTCTTTCAACAAAAAAAAGAAAATGTCAATATAAAAAGAGCAAGACAAAATATCCTCTTTTTGAAATAAAAAATAAAACTGACCTTTAAAGGATGCACTTGGTCAGAGTCAAGGTATGAATCTGATCGAAGATAGACTGAATAGTGATAAATGCCAGGCTTCCTGGGAGCAGAGAATTTCAATTCAACCTAAGAGGGGGGAAAAAATGCAAATTAATACAAATAACTGGTTACAAACTTTTTTTCTTTTTAGGGCTTCATGGATATGATCTTTGTATTACTTGAACAATATCTGTCTATATCTCTGAGATTATGATTACCTGTTTACTTGCATTATTTACATTATTCGGACTATTATCCTCATCTTCATTGCCATATTCACAATGATTCAGCTGTTGTACACTCCAGTCTTCTTCAGGTGATTGGAATTTTGAATCAAACCCTTTATTCTGCCCACCAGGGTAGATTGTTCTAGTTCCACGTACCATGCCTCTTCCAGATGTCTCAGTTATTTCCCTTTGATTCAACTCTCCAAGTTTTGGTTCACCACTTCTGTGGCCTGGTATTGAACTCACAACTCTTTGGGTCTAGTCACTGGATCTAGACAATGTCTTTATCCACTGGGCCATGTGTCCTGACAGTTTTAATAATGTAAATAATGCAAGTACTTGAACAATAGCAAACAAGCTGCACCAAAGTATTTTGAGGCTGATAATTGTTGTTTATATATTATCAATGACAGCTAGGATTTATTTGATAAAAGATCCATGAAAAACAACATAAATAGACAAATAATAGTTTCAAGAGAAAAGCAGCTCCTGACAATTCCACTCAAGCCTTACTATTTGATATCTTAAAAGGTTGAATGCTTGTTTCCTATGAATTACTGTAATAGAACAACAAAGTGAAATCCACTCAGTCCCCTGGCCCCTCACTATCTATTCACAAAATACTGAAGAGTCTTTGATCCAACAATTAAATCAACAAATAATATAACTTACTGTATCTTCATATTTTAAACTAGAAATATACATAGGAGCAGATATAAGCATTCGGTTTTTTCTGTCAGCTATGTATAACCACCAGCATTCTTGCTTGTCCTGAAAAGAAAAACAAAAAATATCCAACTATGAGAAACCATAACTACACAAATAAAAACAAAGCTTATTAATACAATTACCAAAATAAGTAGGAGTATTTCAAGATGTTTCAGGATAGATAATAAAAAACTTCCTTGCATTACTGATAAGTTCTACAAAAACTTTAACAATTATATCATAAAAAAAAAACAACAAAAAAATCTTTTAGCACACTGTTACTTATATGGTTCTCTCTCTATATATATATATATAGGAAAACAATATATTTTTTTTTTTTTTTTACCTATCAAGAATAATTTTAGTGGAAATAAGTATGAAAAAGTGGGAAAAATTCTCAGCACTCCTTTTTTTTCCTTCATGCACATGTGTAATCACATCAATGTAAACATAAATTTAATCCAATGATATCCTAAAGAATGAAATGTGTCACAAAAACCTTTTCCACTTTGCATACTTCTTTCCCCTTATATAATATAAAAGTGAACATTGAAGTCAACACTCAGAGGCAACAGGCTGTTTCATCTTGATGAAACAGTCTATCACCTCTGCAACGTTGACTTCAATATTCACTTTTATATTTACATATGCTCTATCTCTGATACTGAGCACTTTATCCCATAAATATAGCACACCTTAAAAATATAAAAAAGAAATATAGTCTTAAGATGTGCTATATTTATGGGATAAAGTGCTCAATATCAAAGATGTGTGTAAACATAAAAGTGAACATAGAAGTCAACACTTAGAGGCAACAGTCTGTTTCATGCTAGACGCAATCGTCAGGCCCGACGATTATGTCTAGCATGAAACAGACTGCCACCTCTAAGTGTTGACTTTATGTTCACTTATATTTCACTTTTCTGTCATTTCTAATTTTGAATACAAACAAAATGTTAAAATTTGATTTTATAACGGTTATAAAAATAGAGAAAAAATATGATTGACGAAAAATGACATTGATCTTTAAAAAGCTTAATATTTTTACTGGAGATCTGATCTGATTGTATGGAGGCCCAAATTTTGAAAAGAAAAATTTTTTTAAATATTTAAAAATTAATGAAAACTATTTGGCATTTTCAGAACATGTGACAGATTCAACCAAATTTCTGTACAAAACTAAATGACAAAATTTTAAATTTTAATGACGGGAAAATATATCTATTTTTTTTTAATTTAGTTCTTTACTTGTTATATCAAGAAAATCTACTAAGAAAATTTGAATACTTTAAATAATAATGAATCCTAGGATTTCTAAGCAAATCAATTATTTTTTTAAAAGATTAACAAAATTAAAAACAGCTTGATAATTTTTTTTTTTACATCCCAAAATAAAATGAAAACAATAACAATTCAAATCTGATATAAAGAAGAAAAAGAAAAAAGATTTCTCACCAGAGGGAAATATGGACAATGAACAATATGGCTTTCTTTAGATTTGGTTTCCAAGATAGTTTCTTTTTTCATTTCTGCTTGAAATTTTGACCAATCATCATCATCATCTTTTGCATTGGAATTAGAATCACCATTTGCTTCTTTGGCATCCTCTTGGGAATCAGAGTTATCACTGCCTTCGTGGTCAGAACCATTTTCAGCATCACCCTTTCCATTCTCAGCAGTACCCTTCTAAAATAAAAAATTATTAGTACCTTTCTGTGTTCTAAAGGTTTTTGAGGAAAAGATTACTCCAAAAATATTTCAAAATCTTTTGTCATGGCAGAAAGCAGACAAACTAAACAGAACTATTAAAAATATAAAAAGCTCTATGAACTTTGTACCTGCAAAATCAGGTACATCATCTACCTAATCATGCAGCAGTCAAAATAGGAAAAGTCTGTTTAGATGTTATTTCAAACAAGATATTAAATAAACTTAAGGATACATGATATTGTTGGGATATTAAATACATGATATTGTTAGGATATTATTCTTGTTGCTTCTAGTATTTATTAAAAGATGTTTTTAATATTTAGTGAACTTGTATTTTTGCATTGTTTAGTAATATGCAGTTTAATAGAAATATTGCCAGATATGTGACATTCCTCTACGAGATAAGGTTGTAATTGTGTAATCAATGTGTAATTCTTTCAAGTTTTTATTATTATTGAAAAGATATTTGTCACATGGGTATGAAAATTCATAAACAACATTTTTTCAATTTTTGATTTAATTACTGTATTTTTGATAGTAATGATATTAGATGTTTTTAGCTTTTATTGTAAATTATGAGATTATTTTATTGTTTTTTTTTTTAAATAAGCTTCTGATAATTAATAACTCAATAATAATCAAAACTGTTTATTATTATCATCATATCAGTTTCTTATCTAGCAAGTACATTAATAAATACATTTTCAACATCTAGTGATGTTAATTTGGCATTATTTGATTTATTAATTTTGAGAATCTTATGAAGTTGCAAGTGGAACTTCTGCTATATTTAGATGGTCAGCACAGTATAAAAAATTTGGTTAATATTTGAGAAATATGGTAGCTTGGTGTAGGAGTTTATGAAATTATTTGACAAGTATTTTTTTGCAGCTAATTTGATTGACATACATACAAAAGAGTTTACATTGATTTTTTCTTTTTCTTTTTTCATATAAAAATAATGATCTTAATGATGTGGAGAGAGATTGATCCTGTTGATTTAAAATTTATCAAATTTATTTTAATTTATATGTAAATGGCATAATAAAACTTTTAAAATTTTATTTTGAAACAACAACAACAAAATGAAAAAAGAAAAAAAAACTTGTATATTTTTTTTATACATCAACACAAATAGGTGTTACATTCTACAAGTTCCTTTTATGCTAATGAAGTTTTATTTTTTGCTTGATTTTTTATACTTAGAATTAGTACAATCTAAATTTATCACAAACAAGACGGTTCTTTTATGCAAAGTACACTGAATGTAAATCCTTTTGGGAAGTCACAAGACAATAGTTAAAAAAAGGAATTTGCAAAATGCTTACAATTGTTTGCATCTAAATGTGGGTTGTAACATAACAATATGCATTAGAATAAATCACCCTACAATATAACAATTATTTTAAGACATTCTATTGACCTTTTCTTTTTTTTTTTAACTTACCTCAGCAGTAGCAGCACCAATTGTGCAAACTTTTTTATCCTCTCTGTTTTCTGATGCTGCTGCGGCAGCTGCTGCAGCAGCCGCAGCCGAAGCAGCTGCTGCTCCTCGTGCCTGGGCTGATGCCTTAAGCTTCTTTTTAGTTTTTGCTCCTTTTTTATTGTTCTTCTTCCTTTTCTTGTCTTTCTCCCACACACGATTTGGTTTCCTTTGAGGAGAATCTGTTGTTTGAGGCTGCAGACAAAAGAAAATCCTTCTACATTTTACTTGTATTTTGATCAAAGAACAATTCACAAGTCTATCATCATAAATGTATGCACTTTTCATTTCAACTTTTTCTATGATTTATTTGTCGAATCCCAATGATTGGTAGATTTGCTTTTTTATGAATTATCAACCCTTTGTTGTTTAAAACATGTTTTGGATTTAAGAATAATTCTTTTTTGTGAGTTAATATTGCATTAACAATTTTTGGAGAATAACAATGATTTTTTTCCAGATACAAGTCCTTACTATTTAACCCATAGCTGGGCGAATCGCAATAATGAATAATGATTTTTTCCTTGGCTAAGAAGAAAATAAAATGCACAAAATAGATGGTATAGAGAATCAGGGATGAAGACGTAGCAAGATGACTACAAATTTACGTGTTGCTTGGCTGCAGTTTCAATGATCAAGATGATGTCTATGAAAGGTAGATCTCTGAGTAGTGGTATACAAGTTCAAGTCTCATTGAAAGCTACTTTGCTCTTGCTGTCAATGTTTGTCAATCCAAAGTGTTATGATAAAAAGCATCAAGATGGAGTAAAAGTAGCCATGACAGTAATGCAACAAAATTTAAACTTCATTTGCACACTAAGTCACTTTCAGGTGTTCAAATAAAATTGTGTAAGAAGCTTTTTATACACCTTTACTGAACATTTTCAATATTTTTTGCAACTCTCAGCTCTGTATGTATAATAAAAAGTTTATCAGTTGATGAAAAATACTAACAAATATACAGGGTGGTCTAAAAGTCAGGCTACAATTGGAAAAGAGAATTTGTGAAATGGCAACTAGAGGAAATTTGTGTGACATCATCTACCATAATTAGACTGACAATATATCATTTGTAAATTTTATCAAACAGAGAGACATTAATTCATTTAGTAAATAAATATAAAAATGATAGTTTATCAATTGTATAATGAATAAAATTCCTTTAATACAAATGTATCCTTTGTAGACAAAAAGAAAAAGGAAAATGTGACCTAGATTTCATTTAAAGCAAAATTTAAGAAAAAAAATTATAAAAATGGTGTCATTAGTATCAAATAATTTTTTAGTTTTCCTTATTCTTAGTTCTTTATTGCAAATGCAATTCTGATTAATAAAAAAAAATACAGATTTTTCTAAGAATGGAGTAGGTAAATATCAGTGTAAAATATTAACATAAAACAATAAATAACTTGAAACATTGGTAAGTTTAATTTAATGTTGTTTTTCTATCTTTGCAAGTAATTGTGTGTGTGAACATTGTATACTTATTATTGAACAGATTACTTTTGTCTGAGATTTTCAAAAGCTTATCTTCATATATCTAATTCTTGACTGACAACTGAGAATCTTAAGATTTAATTCTGACTGCTAGTTTGATGAAACTTACATAGAAAGAAACCTCTTTAAAAACCACGAGAGACAATTTGAACACTCTAACTATTGTAATTTTCTTCATTTAAACAGATAAATTATATTTTCTTTTTTACAGATTGTTTGAAATTAAGCTTTTAAAAAATTATGTTTCAAGTTTGGTTTACTTACATGAATATAAATTCTGAAAATGTTGATATTAAAAGCAAATAATTAAAAATTGAAAGAAGTAAAAATTACCTGATTTTCTGCTTCTTCAATTACTTCAGTATGATTTTCTTCAGTGTTTTCTTTAACCTCTGCAGGAGTTATAGAATTTGCATAATGATCACCAAGGCTTTCTCGTTTTAGAGTCACAGTTACGGTAACAATTGAGCCGGCTGTGATGGTCGAATCATCGTCATCAATTACTGAGAGAAGAAAAAAAAAAAAAAAATCAACACTTACATGAAATTAAAAAGTGTGCTCAAAAGTCAGGTGAGATCAGTCATAGTAGAATGTTTTTTTTCTTCTTAGTACACAGAAAGTTTTCTAAAAGAAACACCCACACCCACAGAAAATATTGCCAGTTTGGTTTGAATCACTGCAATAAAGTGAGCTACACAAATTTTTGGGTTTCCCAGTGCATATAAAAGTTATGTTTAAACTATATTTTTTTATGCCACATCTCTTCAGGACATGATGCTCCACAGATTCCTTTTGTTTATTGTCTGGGAAATGCCATGATTTCTTGAGAAAGAGTGGTTTCCTGTTGCCTTTTCCACAGTTTTCCTTTTTTTTAAGGAGTTGCTGTCACCCAAGTCTGTACAGGTCAGTCTACCTTGCTATTTAACCCCCACTTGGTGTGCGCGGTTGGTGATGACACACACATTCATGTTATGTCTTAATGGTCTTAGTGCAAATGTAAATGCAACAGATAAGTCTGGGATTTGAACTCAGTTTGACAATTACACTTTCTGTATCAATATCTGTTATAGGCAAGGTGAAGTAATGGATAGCAGCCCAGATTGAGGAATCAGAGAGCTGAGTTCGAATTCCAGTCACATCTATTACATTCACTTATGTATTAATACCCTTGGGAAAGGTATGAATTCTCCTCTTCTCCCCTCAGCTATGGGTAAATAGCAGGGCAGACTGGGTTCTATAGCCTTGAATAATGGCAACCTACTGTGGGAAAAATCTGCCTCATCAGTCATATATCAAATGATACATGATTGCCTAAGTGTGTATCACGCATGGCACATAACGGACTGAACTGACTGACTGATATTGTAGTTTAATAACATTAATGCTCTGTTATAGTATAATAGCATTGGTACCTACCTTATTTTACAAAAATACTTTATTGCTATGAAAACATGACAAAGCAACATAAAGCAAACAAATGCAGTTGAAAAAATAGCAATGATTGTAGTCAAAGATTGACAGAAATGTTAAATTTGTAGAAAAAAAAAGCTAAAGATCAACAAAGCACTTTAAAATGGGATATAGCTATATATGAATTTGTGACATATCATTAATTCTCTGAATTCTGTTGTTGGCTTACAGACATTTCATGTTGAAACATCGATTCCCATCTGATCACTGAAGATATGCACCATCAAGCCTGGTCAGTACCTAGATGAGTGACTGCTTGGGAATATCAGGTGGTAAAATGGCTTGGAATTGTTAATTGGAAATCCAAGTTCCAATTCCAGTTGAGTTCATTATATTCACTTACACACAAATACCCTTAAGAAAAGTACAAATTCACCTATTCTCCCCCAGCTATGGATTAATTAGTAAGCCATATCACTAAAACATTATATCAAAAAAAAAAAAAAATAAATAAATAAAAATAAATAAATAAAATAAAAATAAAATAAAATTCTTCCAATCTAGAAATATTCTCTGGCTTTAAATGAAATATAAAGGATTGATAAGCTGTAGAAAACGAATGAATCAATGAATTTTGTTGGACAATTTCTTTCTTTAACGACAAAGCAAAATGATTAGAAATAGAGAATAAGATATTTTTGTAATTTTTTATGCACCAGGCAGTGAGATATATTCTTGCACGGAATATTATCTGCAAATAAGCATACAGTATGAACAATGTGAACATTCATGAAGTAAGGATCAGCAAGCAACTCTTGCAGACAATTAATATGAACTTGTAAGTTCAATTCTCACTGATATGTATGACTGTGTAATATTAGTATAAAAATAATAGTATAAGCTTAAGAAATATCAATATTCATATAATTTTAGCAGCTCAATACGAAATGAACTACTCACATTACTTTGCTGTTCAGCTCTGAATGAATGAGCCGTGTGTGTGTGTGTGTGTGTGTGTTACATATGTATACACAAACACACACAAAGTACTCATACAAAAATAAAAGGATTGACATATAGACTGACACTTCTATTTAGGATCAGATTACCTGTAGATTCTGCTTAGGCTCAAAGTGTTGACCAACTTGACACTTCTGCCTAGGATCAATGTGGTATCTGTGCACTATGTGTTGCTCCATATAAAAATATAGCCATGTAATTACTTAAGAAAAATTATACAGTAATTATTAAATAGCACTGATACTACAAAAATGACGAGATTGAAAATTAGTAAACACAGAAATAGATAAAAATTGAAAACGCAAAAAAGAATGTAAATTATAACCAGCAAATGATTCTCTGTATTAGTGATTTATTTGATTTATGATATCACAGGTGGGGTTTCTCAAAGTCATTCAAAACGTTCATTCACTCTAATTATTACATATACAGTGATATGACAAAATTCTAACAGAGGGATAAGAGGAAGAAAAAAATAATCAGAGTCGTATTTTAGTGGCAACTTCAACTCTCTTTTCTTATTGTTACCCACTGACTTTACCATTACTTCTCCACTTTATTTTCTGCATTCACAAATTGTTGTTTTGATGCAAGGAATAAGCAAATTCACACTGAATTTTGTAATTTTTTTCTTGCATTAAATCTGTTAGTGTAACTTTTGGCATTTAATCTTTTGTACATTAAGAATCATAACAAAAAGGGATTGTCAGTGGCCAGGAATTAATATATGTTACTAACAGAAGAGAGTTATTATTTATTTATATATATATATATATATAAAAAAAATTTACTTGTTGAGCACAAGATCACAAACACTGAGCACCCAGTTAGAATTAAGTTCACTATAATGACCTGTTAGATTAGCTTACTAAACATTACTGTATAATGAGTCACCAATACAAGATAATTATTTACATAAACTAGAAGTTATAGAGTCATTCTAGAAAGTCTGTTGCCAAAATATATTCTTTCTTTCTTATAAAATGAATTATAAGCTTATGTCGTATATAACTTAATGTTTATCTCAAGTTCACTTTTCTTGGTCATCAACGTTTGATTAGAACAGACATGAAATGAAGTCATAAAATCTGGGGTAAATGGTAGAAATAAAAAAAATCATATTTACTTTGTTCATGTTTAGGAAACAATGCTTATTATCACTTTCACTTAGGATGAAGAAATTTCTTCTCAAATGCTAAGTGGGATAGAGGCTGCCTCATGACTGAAAATAGTTGCATATTCCTCATCCTCACATGCAATTGATATTTCAGCCCAGCATCTTTTGGAAGGTTATATTATACCAATCTTCCTAGTACATCCCAATTGGCATGAATAAAGAGGGAAGGGTGACAACAAAGATAATGGGATTAGCATTGATGGAATAAAAAGTGATAGTAAAGTATCTACTACATTCCATAAAAAAAAAAAAAAATTCCATGTCCCTTCAGATACCTTTTCATTATTATTTGTGAATTACTATGACTTCTTTTTAAAGATACTAGACTGGTTTTACATTGCCTTCTCCACAATTTTGTAATCAGTGTTGTCTTGCTTAGTCTGTGTGCCACTCAAGGCTAGAGAGACCATAGGTGGGGAGAGAAGCAAAAAGAAATAGATTCCTGCATTCTCAAAGGTATTTTTGTTGAAAGTGAACACAATAGATTAAGTTGGAATTTGAACTCAAGCTTGTCAGTCCCACTTTTGGCACATCTATCAAATCCATTAAGGTATATATATATATGTCTAATAATTTCTTACCTTCTGATTTAATTTCCAAAGTTACATAAGGCATTGATGCACACACTTCCATTACATCCAAATATTCTTCATCAGTTAAAGAGCGGAGGATTGACCGACGTTCATCATCTTTCATCAAAATAAAATCACGGATGCAACGAATATTCCTCTACAAAAGACAAGATTTTTTTCCTCTGAAAATTAATTCCATTAACTTTTATCACATCAAGAATAGCAATTTGCATGTGACCAATTTAACCTAGTCTACTTGTTAATCACCACCAGTATTATGTCTTAGATTTTATCATCTACTTTCCTATCTTCTTTGATGGCCAGTGAACTTCTAGTCTTAATAGGTGGACATCAGAAATGTATAAACACAATTTGATTTACAACAGAGGAAACTCTTCATTTAACTTGGATAATGAATAAAGAAAAGTGACTTTGAGATAAAGCAGATAAAATTTCTTCTTCAGATGCCATCTACTGAAAAGCTACCTGGACAACAACTCTTGGGTTGCACAACTTGGGACATTTGCTTTCCCCATTGGAAAGCAGACCACATTTTCCTTACCTCACTTTCTCTTCCCACTCTACTCACACAAATTATCTTCATTTAACCTGACATTCTAACATACACAACCATGTCATACAACTTTAACTGGCTAAGCCATAATACTGAATCGATCATGAATCCTGTAATTCATTACAGCCGTAAGGGCACCACATATATTGCAGCCACAATAGAAGTGGTACATCTTGGGCAAGACAGCCTGATGGATCTCAACCCTTTCAAGACTGGTTGGAATTCAGAGTTTTTCTTCTTAGACTGGTTGCTACCCAATAGTCTGTCCTGCTATTTGCCCATATATTGCGGGGTGGGGGAAAGAAGAGATGGATTCATACCTTTTCCCAAGGGGAGTAGAATGTAATTCAAACTCAGCTCCCTGGTTCCACAATCCGAGCCACAATCCATTACCATGACACCAAATCATTTTCATTAACAAAGCATAGTATATTATGTAGCCTTGTGTTGTTTAGTTACAATTTCTGTCAAAAATACTAGTTTAAAAAGAGGAGTTTAAAAACTACTTATAAAAAAAACTTTAAAAGTTTTTTTTTTTTTCAGCTGGTATATTGGTGCTAAAAGAAGTCTGTCACTAGTGTTTATAAACAAGGGCTTTTATTTAAAGTGTGGATACACACATGGAGGCATGTGACCAGTTTAAAAGTTCAGTGGGTCTTTTTTGCACAAGCAAGCGTTTCCAGAAGATGATGAAATATTTTTGAAGGTTTATGATGAGAACATAAAAACTGGGAAGAAACATTCATCCGGGTTACTAAAACCTATTTGTTTTCATCTTATCCCAGTCATCTGGGCATCTTAATGCAATTTTACAGTACCACACACACACAATTCATTACTTTGCAACTTTCCTGCTTCAAATCTAAAGAAATGATAATACTTAAAATTGGTTAGACAAATGTTTAAGTTAATATTAAAGATTATAAGCTTCAAAAGCTGTGTTTTTCTAGAGTGCTCTGTAATAATAACCTTTAAAGATAAAGCTTCTCTAAAAACGAAGCTACCTAACAAGATGTATATGCAATCCAGTTATCAAAACTTTCATTCAATTAAATGATTATATGTGCTACTATTTATAACAATCAATCACTTGGATAAGCAATTGTTTTGCTCAAATTATCAATATTATTATACCTTGAGGGATTAAAATATTGTATCTTACCTTACGACAAACAAAATATTTCAGCATGTCCTGTGTAATGTAGGGCAACTGAAGCAAGGGACTGGATTTCTCCTGTAAGGCTTGAGTTAGGAGTTGTGATGCCTTCATTATGTGCTCCAAAGTCTCAAGGGAAGGCATTAAGGTACCTGAATGTAAAATAAAAAAGAATTCATGAATGAAACAAATTTCTAAGTTACTGTCATTATAGTAACTTTTATTAACAATTTTAAAATTACATAATTTCACGAGATTTTCAAAAATTAGATACATTTATGACAAAAGATAGTCATATTACATAGAAAAGAGTTGTTTGTTGAATTCCTCTTCTAGAAATGAATAAAGTTTCAAAGTTTCAAGAATGTACCTTCACAATGGATCCTTTTTTATGGCAAGTTCAGGATGGTATATTTTTGACCTGTTTTTGCCCTACTGTCAAATTGCAATTCTTGCTGTATTTAGATGGTGTTAATATGAGTTTTATATTGATGTACTACTGAGGCAACAACTGAGTTTCATCTCTGTTGTGCTATGAAGTATAGGAAGAAATTACAAGGTATTAACTATTGAAATGAAACTGGTAGGAGCAGTCAGAATTACTCTTTTGCATCATTTTTTTAATTGTTTTGTTTTTTAGAACACAATTCTTCCCAATGTTTAGACTGGTTGGATCTAATAATTACTGATGTCATCAATATTATCTTTCTTTTACTTCAAGACTACCTATATGATGTTACATTTATAATGATTTTTCATTTGTTTGAAGCCTGCATCTTCAGTTATACACTCTTAAAATTGGCTTCTGACACAAAAGTTCTAACTTTGAATGATCATAACTTGGTTGCTAAATACAAGTTTTTTTTTTATTGATGTACTACTGAAAAATTATTGTGCTATGAATCATAGCAAGTTGCAACTATTGAAATGAAACTGGTATCAGCAGTGAGAATTACCTTTCCGTACCATTTTTCATTTTTTAGAACACAATTCTTCCCAATGTTTAAACTGGTTGGATCTAATAATCATTGATTCCATTAGTATTATTTTTTCTTTTATTTTAAGACTACCTATATGACAAAACATTTAGAAAGATTTTCCACTTGTTTGAAGCCTGTATATCCAGTTACGCAGTTAAAATTGGCCCAATAGGACATGAGAAGGAAAAGATATTTTGGAAATAAAATTTTTGTTTGGAATACCTACTAAAATGCTAGTTGAAATATTAAACTATCATGACATGGTAGATTTAGAGAAAATAAATATTTGAAAGAAGAAACAATATCTGTATTTTTTCTCCCTATCAATAAACTGAAATGAACCCGAATACTCCACCCCAAATCCAAAGAATGTACACAAATTTATTTACTGGTATTCTGACATTGGTACAACTTTATTCACTGCCAAAGAAAATTAATCTATAAACAAGCACAAATGTGTCTAGAAGGCTGGTGTGCTCGGAAACAAGTAACTTGCCATTATTATTATTTATTACCCTGATTATAACATTCTTCTTGAGAGAGTAGAAGTGGCACATCAGAGAGCATTTATAAATTGGACATAGATTACATGACTAGACTTGTAAGATGTGGTGATTGGTTGTTTTAGGGTTTATAAACCCCTCATGCATCATTTAAAGATGAGACATTCTTATATTTCATAAAAATTTTTTTTTATTCATATGGTATCAGGTATTTATTTACTTACTTATTTTTATACAATCTTATGGTTTCGGCTTTTTTTTTGTTTTTGCAGAGTAACATTTTTATTCCTTATGTACTATCAACCACCATTTCTATTCATTTCTTATCTGAAAACATCCTTTTGTCATCTTTGTATATATTCCTGCCTCAAGAATTGTTTTATATATATATATATATATATATATATATAGCAAAAGAGAGATTACAATATATGATGTTAAAAGGTAAAGAATACATGATACTTACACTTGCCATGAACAGCTCCTGCCACTAACTGAGCAACCACATTGACCATCTCATTGATAAGGCTGGGAAACTTCTTCAAAATATACTGCTTATCTGTGTAAAATAAAATGATGAAACAAATAATAAGAAATGTAAAACTCATTTGAGTTTCACAGACAAAATATTACACCAATTCATTCAAATCAGTTTCACTATCTTTACTACAATCAAATCAGTCTCACTATCTTTAATACAATGTTTCATATTTTTGCCAGGTATTGGAATGACAACAACAAACTGCAGTCAATGAAATAAGAGGTTTTGACTGATAAAACCTGGAAGGCTGGCAAATGAGACAAACACCTACAGAAGGCTGGAGAGTAGAGTGGTCAAAGCATAAAAATAACAATGTTAAAGAAATTGAGTTTGTGTTATATAGAAATGGTAACAAATCAATAAATCTAATGAGGAGTAGACAAAAAATGGATTACAGAATAAATATAAAGATTTAAAAAAGTTCTTTTAATCTGAGCAATGGAAGACAGATAACCTTACTAGTTCTAAAAATATTTATTTATAAGATGTTCAAAAGAACAGATGTCAGAAATTCTGTGAAAACATACCAATTTCTAAAGTGTTTGGAGGAAGGGCCTTCCGTGCCATATGTGCAAAAAGAAGCACCCTGGCTTTCATGCTGTAAGGAAAGCACAAGGGACGTTCCTTGTTGCTCTCTCCAAGATTGCTTAATTCTCGCATCAGCTGAAAAATACATATATAAGAAAAAATTTAACTTTATGAAGTTTAAAACAAAAGAAAAGAAAGACTCACACAAACACAAAAGGGAAACTATGGGAAAAAAATGAAAATACAGAAATCAAATCATCCACAGACTAAAAAAATCTAAATCAATTTAACTGGCTGTATTTTAGGATAAAAATAATTCACAATTGAATAAAAAAAAAAAAAAAAAAAAAAAACAGTAATATTAGTACAAATTTTTTGTATAGGATACAAATATGTAATTTAATAAATAAGCAAAAACTGCTACTAATTTAAATACATGAAAAATATTAATACTTTCCATTGGCTTTCTTTATAAGCAAACTTTTAAACATGCAATAAAACATTATAATAAACATTTTGTAGCAAATTGCTAAATAAAGTAAAAATAAAATAGTGTAAATCAAATTCAGGTGAAATGTATCTTTGGTGAAATAAATTTCCACTTTGTCTCTTGTGTGTGTGTGTGTGGTCAAATTCATGTCATGATCTATATAAAATTTTTTTTCAGTTATAAAACCCAAAAGCTCCTTTTAAATTTCTTTTTTCTTTTTTTTTGAAAAAGAGGAAGTACTCTGCTTTTGAAATTAAATTAATTATTCACTCACCAGTAATTTACCATTGCCCAAGGAGACACATTTGTAGTGATGAAATATGATTGCTATTGTGTAGTGATTTTTAACATGTTTTTGTTTTAATCATCTATAATAATATTATATTATATATATATATAGAGAGAAGTCATGGAAAGATACAGGTTGCACACAATGCTTCCTAGTAAAAAGTTGTTTTTTCCTTCTTTTCTCATTGACATTAAAATTAATTTGTTTCCTGAAAATGGGATTTACAAAGCTATTCATGCTATCAACCTTTTTTTTAGTATCTACAAATTTTTCTTGTGACATTTACTACCAATATGACTAAATAACATAAGTTTTATATATAAAACTTGGTTGGGTCAAGAACTTTTCAGCATGTGTGTGTGTGTGTGTTTCCATATACGTACAGCAGGCAACTCTTCATTATCACTTGGACGCTCAATGATTTCAGCATTGTGTAATTTCTCATATTCCCATGATGAAGCAAGAATCATGATTACACCTGTTGATTAAAAATAAAAAATATTTAATTATTTACAATTTAAAAATAAAAAATTGTTAAAAAATAGGCCTTACTTTTTTATAAAATTTACAATCAGTTAAAAAAAAAAATCCCAAGATTTCACACAGAATGGATGTCTAAAATAAAAAAAAAAATGAATATCCAAGTTACACAGAAAGATTTTTCCCTCTGAAATTTCTTAAACAAATTTAAAAGCAGAAAGTTAATCCCCAAAATATTCTAGTAATGAATAAAAAAGGATTTTATAAAAAAAAAAAAAAAAAAAAATTTTTAAAATGATATTTAGTAAATTTAAAATTTTTCTGTTTATTAGAAATCTCAACATGAGACTTGTTGATACAAATTTTTTAAAATAAAGAACAGGACAGTATAAAGCTCATATATAGGAAATATAAGCTTCAAACTAAAAGAAAAAACACATGATGCAATATTACTCACGTTTAAGTTGCATTGTTGGAGTTTTGTTAAAGAAATGCAAATACAAGTGTGTAGTATCAAGAAGAACTTGATCAGCACTGAATTTGATGGAACGATACCACCATATGCCCTATAAAGGGAGGGAAAAATGTTTTATTTATTATTTTATTAAGAGACAAGAAAAAACATTACAAACTTGTTTTACTATAGGAATTATTTTTCATCAATCTTTGAAAATTGAGTAGTTAGTGATTACTTTCATAAAGGATTTTCGTAAATTTCATGTGGTTCAAACAAAATTTGGATTTAAGAGAATTGATATTTTAATGCAAGAAATATGAAAAAAAATACATATTTCTAGATTTTAATCACCTTTTATTACAACAAAAGAGTTTTTCTAATATCTTGCCTCTTGTTTTTATGTTTTTTGTAGCAATCATTCTATTTGTACTTGGATAAAGAAATTAATATATATATATATATATATATATATATATATATATATATATATATAATTTTATTGCCAAGGATTATATCAATAACAGCCCTATTTTATCAATAATGAATATGTTAATTCTTCACCACCGACAACCATTGTTTTATTTTTAATGCACAATATACAAAAGGAATACAGAAGGTTGCTTTAATAAATTTTAGCTAACCAATTGTAATATGCAATGCTTAATTTCCCCCATCACCAATTACTATAAAAATATTTTGTATGAAAGTGCAAAAACTGACTAAAATGGAATGATGGTGAAATTATAAAATATTGAGGAGAAGCAACAAGTCATAGCCTTGCAAATGTATACCAGATTCAAATCAGTGTAAAAATACAATTCTGATTATTACTTTATTTTTCATTATCTCCTCTATTGATAGATTTTGCTAATTCAATATGCAATTATTAGCAGGAATTAATATTTTGAGGCATTTGTTTAATAAATCCTACTTTTTATATTGTGGCTTACTTAAACAGCTAATAAATAATCATCTTATATAATTTATAAAACTGTATCTAAGTTTCCATTTTGATTGACTACTCACAGCAATTAAGAATTTAACTGGAATAAATAATCACAGAATGATTGAAAATTAATAACAAATAATAATTAATGTATCAACTCCATGTCTTGTCACAATGAATCTTCAATGTTTACCTTTTGTAGATTAAATACAATTTTTGACAAGCTATACAAAAACAAAAAGAACCTTAAATAACTTTGTAATATTAAAATTTATATGATTTTCTAGTAAATAAACAACTTTATGATCAGACAGCAAAGAGCATCATTTCTTCTGCATTAATAAATACTGTATTTGATGACATGTAAAATCTCACTTTCTTCTGTTCTTGCGCCAAGCCTAATTCCTTAATACTGTAATATTATTTATTTGAGTGTCATACTAAATATCAGTGATTAATGTTAATTAATAAGTTGAATCTGTGATCGTAAAACATAACGTGGTCTAGAAAGTAAATTTGCATACTTACCACTACAATAGGCAACAATATCATAAACACTAAACCATACACAGCCAATACCTAAAGAAAAAGAAGGAAAAAATATCAATCATGTAATAAATTGGGAAGTATAAATTTATACAATTTAACAATATTATAGTTGAATCACTAGCAAGCTTACCCAACATCACTTAAATTAATATAGATTATTTAGTTATATTGTACTTTTAGATTTTGTTTACTAACCCTCCTAACCCCACAAAAAATGTGATAAATAAAAGGAAGTTTTCAGTCAATTATTCCAAGTTTTATTTGATTCAATGTAAATTAAAAAAAAAAAAAATCATTAACAGTACATGAAAAAATTGCCACTTAAGTTTGTTTTATTTTTGGAAGGGGTGTTTTGGAGATAGACATACAATAAGTCAAGTACCATACATGATACATGATTGTGTAATCATGTCTCTTTCAATTCATGATTGACAAGGATTTCCCCCACAGTAGGCTACCATTTTTTTCTGTGGTCGACCGGTTGCCAATCAAGGATACAGAGATGGAAGCATACTTTTCCCCAAAAGGTATTTGCATGTAAGTGAATGCAATAAACCTGACTGGAATTTGAACTTGGCTCTCAGTTTTCTCTTTCTGAGCTATTATCCATTACACCACACTTGCACATCCATGTACATAATAACTACTCTCAAGTTAGGTTTTGCTTATATTTATCTAAAATAAAAATACATGATGGACATGCAATTAAACAAAACAAAAATGCAGTAACAAATCATTTTGATATATTACAATAGTGTATGCAAAATTTGAAAAATTTTTGCTACATTTTTGCATTTTGTTAAATAAGGCTATTTTTAGGTTCTTATAATATCAATAATAATAACAATAAAAGGTTAAATAAGGCTTAGCTGTTCATATTTTTTTAATATGTATTAAATATTAAATATTGTCACCAAGTTTCGAATCTGTACATGCAACATCCTTGGTACTATTAATGTCAGAAGTTCATTGTAAGCCTTATTTAGCAAAAAAAAAGAAAAAAAAATTTTTTTTCAAGATGCTCTGATGTGAAAACTATTAAAAAAATACAGATTTGATCAAGGAATACCTATGAATTTTCCCAAATTTTTCTGATTGATTTAAGATGGAATGACCAAGTAACATTCTATTGTTAAAGGAAGACTATGGCATAAGTAATCATTTAGCTTTATGATGCATAAACTGCTCACGCATTATATAAAGCAATAAGTTGCAGAGAGATTATGTGATGAAGTGTGTGTGTGTGTTTAAGACTGGAATGTTTCAAAGCTGGAGATTGTCTTAGCATTTGACTAAGTGTAAGGCTAATTAATACTGACAAGAAAACAGATAAAAACTTCTCTGAAGGATTCTGAAAATTTAAAAAAAAATCTTTAGTCAGATTTTGGGAAGTGGATGCAAGAACTTTTTGACACCTGTGTGTGTGTGTGATATTGTATTTGCTGTGTTATTCTAGTAGAGGTAGTAAAGATATAAGAAAAGGATTACTTTCAATATATTATACTTTTTTTTCTAACTCTAATTGAATTACAATGCATTCAATACAGAAAAATAATATGTCACCCATTCAACTTACCCACATGGAATTTTCTCGTTCTACAATCCATTTGGGAAGTGCAATACCAAACCGAATGACTAGAAGAAAAATGAAAAAGTCATAATCAGAAAATATAGTTTAAAAAAAAAAAGAAAGAAGAAAATGATCTATTATTGCCAAGTTTCATATTTCTTAAAAATAAGTGGGATTTGAGGAAGGAGTGAAATTTTATCTAAGTGATAGGGATCATTACTATAATAACAGGATATGGAGGTGTGAGGAGGAGGAGGCCATAATGACAAGATAAGGTGTGATGGTGAGGAGGATGGGGTAATAGTGACAGGATATGGGGGTAGGAGGCCATAACAGTTCAGTTATCTATATATAAAATGGAATCAGTAAACATACAAATTCACTTTGTATTAATGCCCTTGGAAAAGGCATGAATCCACTCTTCTTTGTGCTGTCTTACCACTAGATATCTTGACATCTTGTCTTATCACTGGCAGGCCATAACAATTGATAGATAAGTTAGTACTTTGGCAAATCACACTCCATAACCATCTTAGCGGCTCAGGCAATTGCAGCAGAAAATTATTACTGCTATTTTCAGCCTTGATGGGGACCAACCAATCAATAAAAATATTAAAAACTTAAGAGAAAAAAAAATGGTAAACTGTTATAATTTATAAATCGATTTGGAATTAGTGATTAAAAGAATTAGTGTTGAATTATAGATCAAGTAGTCTTCTGTTTGATATATTATTACTCAGCTTTACTAAATAAAAAGTATTAACAATATTTTACAGTAATGAAAAAATCAAATAATAAATATAAAAAAAATAAAAATGAAAGGTTTGCAATTACATCCAGGTCCATCAGGATTTCCATAGACTTCCCAATTCTTACGAGATTCCTCATCTGTTAATCTACAAAGAAGCAAAAATAAAGAGAACAAAGCTGTATTCATTATTTTACATACATATGAAAATAGGAAATAATTTTTGAGCTGCTCATTCTGTAGAAGAAAAGAATAACTGGTTTATCTTTGCCTAACATGGGAAATGTTATAACAGGAATTTGGACAACAACAACCAGATTTATTTTACAACAAAGTTTTGTAAATTGAAAGGAAATTATCATTATAATTTAAAGCAGAGGTTATAAAAGTTAAAACTGAAATTTCATCTCATCTGAAGACAACACAGAAAAAAATATTATTCTGAAATAAGAGCATTTCTTTCTTTCCTTATAAACTATATCTTGTTTATCCATTATTGAGGACCTCCTGTCAGATGAACAATTAGAAGTGACTGACCTAAAGTCCATTGACATGTTAAAAGACAAATAGAAAGAGGCAAAGTTCACTTTTACAAATGCCTTACAAATGAAGGACATCTCTGGTTTTCAAAATATACACTTGATAATTTCAGTATTTAGTACAACATGTCTGAGAAGACATTTTCAAAGATGAAGCATTCTAAATTTGAATAAAGGCCAGTCTTAACTTATTAAAATTTATAGTCAATTTTGATATTAGGAAGCACAAATTTTGAACTAGAGTTTGACAATGGAACTTAGAAATCTGATCTGGTCTGTTTTGACTGCCCACCTACAGATAGCTTCACAGTTAAATAAGGTTCTATTTGCCTTAAAGCACATTCACTTGTTCATATTTTCTTGAAAGCTATGTCTGCTTCATATCCAAAATGTAAACAAATCAATTTCTAAACATGTATGATTTTACTTTGAATTTATGTTGGCCTGCAAGTCCAAAAATGCATTGTCAATCATTCTGTAAATATTTACAATTTTATTAAACATTTATTAAAATTTGTTACATCAATCATTGTATTATCTCTGAGTATTCTTTTACATTCTTACCAGTTCAATCCATTCTTATTTTAATAAGATCATTACAATTCATTTTTTTTAATGTATTTACATAAAGTGACTCTTGTTGATCAAGTGCAAACTGACTTTTTTTTTTTGATAAATTAAACCATGGAACCATTCTAATAGTAAATATAACAAAGAAACAAAACAAAAAAAAATTTAACAATGTGGCTTTTAGATAAAAAATGTATACAGCCTTTCTGAAAAATATGAATATGATATTAATTTAATAAAACATACATTGAAGCGGCAGAAGAGGCATGGTGGAATAATGGTTAGTGACTCCGATTGAAGATTCTGAGAGCTGAGTTTGAATTCTAGTCAAATCCATTGCATTAACTTATGTGTTAATACCCTTGGGAAAGGGTATGAATCTAAAGATACATGATTGCCTAAGCATGTATCACGCATGGCATATAACTGACTGATAGAGGCTGCAACTCTAATATGGTACACACATATTCAGAGTGCTATAAAATTAGATAATCCACAGATTTGTAATAACTAAGGTTTAAAATGAATTTTTAAAAATGAGAAAAAAAAAAAAAAAAATCTTTCTTGAAGCTTTTATTTTACTTTCAATTTCAAGCAAATAGATTAAATTTAATATTTTCAAAAAGCAAAATTATTTGTTCTATTCAAAATTAATTTAAATTGACTGGAAGGAGGTTTTTTGTTTTTTTTTTTGAATAAGAAATCTGATTTCAGCACCATTTTGGGACCTCATTTATTGCAATGTATTTCTCTTTATTAAAAGAAAATCTTCCAAAAAGAAAATACTATTCTAAAACCTTATTTGAGGAAAATTAGCTGATTTAAAATATAATTAATCTATTTGAAACAAATATTATTTATTTTAAGTTTAAAATATAGCAGAAATGCATTTTTTTTTACATGGTGGTAGCTGTTTATTTAAGAGGTAGACATCTTGGTGATAGATTGATGTTTATCTAATGTTTTTCTATGGGACCTTTATCTGTAAAAAATAATTGAAGACTATAATATAAATATTTTTTTTTAAATAATATTTTGGAATACTCCATAATCTTAAAAATTTAGAAAAATATTCTTTGGAATTTAATGTTTTATTGAATTTTAGATACTTTGGCTTCAAATTTACTATAGTTATCACTGTTAGTTTCTGATAATGTCATGTATGAACACCATTACCAACAAAAGCCAGCACGTTTATACACATACAAAAAAAAATTCAAAATTCTTTTAAAAATTGTTTGATGACTTGTATAAAGCTTTTCAATTTATGATCAGTAAATATAATTTTTGCTTAATAATAATAATATGTAAAATGATGAAATTAATACAGAATTTTAAGATTTAAAACTTAATAAATTATTCTAATTTAAAAAAAATGAAAACAATTCTTGTAAAAATTCATTATTCATCAAAAAAATTAAAATATCTTATTCATAAAAGCAATTAAAACCTTTTCTAATTAAATAATGTCTTAGCTTTATTGCATTTTTTTATTTTACCATTCAGAGCAATTTTTGGTAAATTATGTTTCTGTTTTACAAAAAAAAAAGAAGGAAAAATGAGGATTTAAATTGTCAAAGGAGTGCTGCTTTTAACTAATATAAATATTAAAAGGGTGAAAATTTAATTTAATTTCTCAATTTCATAAAATTAAGTCGGGGTTAACAGATGTAAAAAAAAAAAATTAAAAAAATAAAAAAATTCTAAAATAATTTAATTCATTTGTGGAATAATCCTGAAAGTTTCATTAAAATCCTACAATTATTTAATTTTTGCAAGAATTTCCAAATCAATGTTTTTTATTGCAAAAAAGATGCTAAAATTTCTTATACTAATCATTAACTAATCTTTGGCTAAAACTGAAAATATTCTTATAAAAAAAATGATTATATTTTTCGTTTTTAGATTACAAATGACAACAATTCCAATCACATAATTTGAAATAAGAATGAAAAGAGAAAAGAATAATTTACGCTGCATGAGCTTTTGCAATAAGCATAAACTTCTTAGAGTCTCCAGATTCTCTGTCAGGATGGTATTTCAAACTAAGTCTACGGAAAGCTTTCTTGATGTCAGCAATGCTAGCTCCCTGCAGAAAAAAAAAAAAAATGAAAACAATTGGTAGTAAGTTGCTCACAAGAAAATGACTTCTTCAGATAACACCAATGGGGATAATAATATTTCACATTGCCTATAAAAGTTAATTATAATCAACATTGTACTATTAGAAAAATTAGAGGAAAATTCCGAGATAAAAATAACCTGCATATTAATAATTTTTAAATGAAAGCAAAATGAGAACACACTGGATTGAATAAAGCGTTTGTTCAAATTTCTAAAAGATTACAGGAGTACAACAGATGCCTGAAGAAGGCCAGAAGATACAACAGCTGAAACTTGTGAGTACAAACAAGATGAACATGTTGGTTCCAATAGAAAGGTAAAGAATGCTAAGATATTTGCATCTGAAAAAGATATTTACATCAATAATAAAATTAATAGTGTTAATTTTAACACTGACTACCCTGACCATATTGTAAAAATCTATCAAAATTTAAACAATTATCAGATTCTTAAGGAAATATATTTTTCTTTCTAAATTTTTTTTTTTTTTACTTACTTTAAGATATCATTAGTTAAAACAATTTTTTCCCAGTATTTTGAAAAAAAATTCTAGTTTATTTTGGAAACTAAATAAAATAAAAACTGAAAAAAATATCCAATAATGTTTTTTTTACTTTAGAAACTAAAGAAAAAAAATGTTTTACTCAACAGCTTTTCATTTTTTGTTTGTTAATTATACTTTAGACGATGCAGATAAAAAATATATGTAAATAAATTCAGACTTTCAAAAGAATTCAAATAAAAATAATTAAATTAAAAATTAATTTTTGTTTTATCTTTTTTTTTCTAGCCTGGGTACCTTTAAAAACATTTTGTTATTAAATGACAATGATCTGATACAATTTTTTTCATCAAACACTCTAAAAGTTATCATCATCATTAGCAGCAGCAATTTATGAAATGACCAAATTTGTAAGCATGTATTTTTAAGTCTATCTTTTGTTACTCCTTTCATCTTTGACCTGTACTTGAAAACAACTAACTTGAGAAAATTGTTTTTTTTTTTCTTCAGATTTTAATCAAAATGTAGTGAACCTTTTCATACAGTCCAGTTGAGCAATCATTAACTATATTTGATCAAATCATATTTTCTTTGTGGTTACTTTTTGCTTTTTACTAACACTTCTAATTGATTGGAAATTTTTTTTTTTAACTTAAACAAAAAAAAAAGTATTAAATAATGTAAAACATTAATTTTTTTTAAATGTCAAGCTGACATAAGAGAAATTAATGCTATTTTCTCAAACAAACTCTTTTTGAAAAATAACAAAAAAATATAACTTAATAAATTTTATATTATTGCATTTCTTCATTTTTATTTTTCAGTGATACAGTTCAGTATCAGGTCCTTTGAACATAATTAGAAATAAGTTAGAAAATAAATATTAAATTAGAACACATTATAACTTAGAAAATCCTTTCATTTTTCTGGTAGAAGTGAGAATAGTTTAGTGTATTACTAGCAGTAAAGCCCGGCGTTGCCCGGGGATGTAACAGTAAGAGATAAATCAAGTATCGACCATCATAAAGACTGAAAAATAAAATTGACAAAGATTATTGTTTATGGTTGACGGACACACATGTCTTAATTAGTTTTCTTTATGTTTTTTTTTGTTTTTTGTTTTTTTTACGATTTGGTCAAACCCAAACTCAAACAAAAACATTGTTTTCAATCGTCATGAGTCTACCGATTGAATAGAATTTTATTATAAACAATTGTCTTGTAAATGGAATTTTTAAACCATTCTGAATGTAAAAATAAAAAAAAAGTGTGCAAGACAATAAGAAACACTACCTGCCAAAAAAGTGAAGTTTTGTTGAAATCGGTTGAAAAATGTAGGAAATCCGATCCCATATATAAACGAACACACAAACACACACAAACAAACAACCTGGGTTTTATAATAAGTATAACTCGATATGAGTTGTCCCCCTTTCATTAATGCCTCTTAATCGTGTTTTCAAATTGATTTCAAGCCAAAACAATTGTGTTTTTCCAATTTTGGGTGCTGTCAGAACCACTGCAAGGTAATTTTACGTAGTCCTGTGAAGTTTTGTTGAAATCGGTTGAAAAATGTAGGAAATCCGATCCAATATATAAACGTACAGACACACACACACAACCTGGGTTTTATAATAAGTATGATTTACAACCAGATTTATTCAGTGTTTATCATAAAACAGGATATACATGATTTTATCAAACACAACAGCTGAACACCATTCAGTGCAGCAAAGTATGTTGGCTTGTTTTACTTCCTTTGTTTAAAAACAAAACAAAAGAGAAATCCCATATGATCTTTTTTATTATTGTTTTAGAGTTTTTAATTCTCATTTTCTTGTTCAATAATCTCTGAATCACACACACAAAGTGCAGTAGTAATAAACAAACTGGATCTTGCTTATAATTTTCCTGTTATCTTTACATAGTTCATAAAAAGATTTTTATTATTTATTTTTGTAAATAAAGATTTAATAAAAAATATTTTCTTTTTGCATCCCATTAATGTTCATAATTTGGCAATTTATCTAACCATGTCAATTTATCTGTTTTTTTTTTCCTAGTATAAAATAAATTTCAAAATTTGTCAGCACTTCTTCCGATGATCCTGGGATAAATTATCAGAAATAAAAAAAATAAATAAAAAAAAATTCTAGAACAAGCTTTTAACATTTAATTACAAGAAAATAATTAATAGAACAAAATCCGATATTCAGATTAAGACTTGACTTTTATCATGGACTAAAATTGTTGATAATTTGATCAAAACTTATTCATTTGTTTTACTTATTAATGAAAAAAGAAAAATATGTTTTATAAATTTTACAAAGAAAATTCATTAAAACTCATTTTTAATATTTGGTATCAAAAATTTTACAAGTACATAAGAGAACGACAGGAGCGAGCAGAAAAATATTAAATCAAATGAGTCATACACCCACTCCAACACAAACTACAGTCCGTTTGAAGTTATTATGCAAATCACATAAACCTCAATAACTCAAATTTGCTTTGAACATATAATTTCATCTTCACAACTGACCATAGATTTTCAATTGGATTCAGATTGGGACGTGATGGAATTGATTGACGATTCCATTATTTTCTCTCCTGTAAACCTTTTATACTCACAAAATACATGGGTAACCTTAGATACATCAGGAGGAGCATTGTTGTGTATAAATATACAATTCATTTTGAAACTGTAAGGCTAGCATTTGTACCATTCAAAGAAGTCTTGTCCATTAAATTGCAATAGTTAGTATTGTTCAGTTTAACATTGATTTTGAATGGTTCAGAAATATTCTGGTTGACAATTCCAGTCCATAACATCACAATGCCGCCTCCTTTTAGTCACAGGCACATCTGCATCTGATAAAATCCATTCTTTGGCCCATCAATCAGGATCATTGAGTATCACCTGAGATTCATCCATGAAAATTACTTTAGAAAAGTCAATTTTCATGTATTTATTGATCCAATTTTGATGCTTTAAAATATTTGCTTTAATGAGAGGAGTTTGTCTAGGAGATTTCTTGACAGATCCCAATTTAGGAAGTATTCTACACCTTTTGTCCTTCTTGACTCCCTCAATTCCAGCCTGATCAAAAATGATTGTTTCATTATAACTCACATTAGTTTATTTTCCCCCCAAGGCGATAACATATTTTTATGGAAAAATTAGTTTTTATTAGATTTCAGTGGCCTTAAACTAATATTTGTTTAATCTGCATAATAACTTCAGACTGCAGTTTTATAATAAACCCAATAAAATCATGTTGAAACTAACTAAAAATATAACACAAGCTTTGTTTTATCATCTAAATTGTTTAAAATTTGACAAAAATTATTCAAAGCAAATTCATGTTATTAAGGTTTAAGGACTAATTTATTTTACTGTATGTATTGAATACCAAGGGTACTCATTTTTAAATTGATTATATAACTCTTTTTCTTTTTTTGCATTTATTTTGCTTTTGATCCTAACTAGTTTTAACCAATCCATTCACCAAACATTACAGTAAAATGCAGAAATTCAGAATAAATTAATGGCTCCAATTGAGATTTAAACTCGAATCTCATATCTTAGTAAATTATTTTTCTAAAATTAATTTATTAGCCCAAATTCTTGTACTTTATCTTTACGTAAGTTCGTGTACTTTATCTTTATGTAAACTGATTAAAAAAAATAATATGAAAATGTTGCAATAAAAAGCAACAAAAATAAATGTAAAGAATATCTCTAATAAATATATTTCATCTAAAAATTTCAAAGCAATATATAATTATTATAAGCCAATTAATAAGCTTTTCATTTAGCTATTGGAAACAATCCACTGGATGAGACAGATATTCATTTCAGTAGAAATAGAAAAGGATCATTGCAGTCATTTTAAGTGATCACTAGAAAAGCAGATCTGAGACATACTTACTCTGTCAACACCAAGTTCTGCAAACGGATCGTACTCCTTATTGTCACTATCCATTTTGTAACATTTGTAGGCCAAAAGGAAGAAGATGAGCCATCCCAGAACGAGAACAATTTTGCTGGAATTAAATAAAAATATAAAATCAAAAAATTTGAGCAATCTGGAAATAATCATTTTTTTTTTTTGTCTTTCTTTCTCTTTTTAATATTAAGTTCAGGGACAGGGTTTATATAATTTTGATGAAATTGTACACAAATACACAAGCTTTCGACATTCTAACCACCTGAAGAAGGCCGGAGCGTACAACGGCCAAAATGTTGTGATAAGTATGGCGACAAAGATGAGGACAATAGTCCGAATAATGTAAATAGTGTACATAATACCTTATCTCAGATAGATGGATACTTAATAAAAATTCTTAAGCAAACCTAACTATTAAGAGAATATCAACTATTATTAAATGAAATTCACCCTAGGTTCAAAATCCCACTGTTGGTCATTTTATTAATATTTGTTTTATTACAGGTGAGTGACACTTAAGTTGTAGAAAAATAGTAGCTTATATTATCTAAGCAAAATTATAATAGAAATTATAAGAGAAAATATTTAGATTACTTGATCACATTAAATGTAAAAAAAAAAAAAAAGTTACAGATTGAATTGCTATCTGACCTTATTTTTACAATATCGAATCAACCCATCATTTGCTGTTTTATTTCTAAGTGCATTCAGATTAAACAGATTTTTCCACCTGATTAAGTGGTATTAACAGATTTTCTTACTCATGGAAATTCCTTTTATTTATATTAAACAACTTTATCTCACATTACTTTCAGTAGTAAATATAGACTAAAAGTTTAATTTTCATTAATAAGGATTGAATATATATTTTTACTCAGGCTGCATGTTGGCATTCTCTTTCCGAGATGAAAATGATTAATAAAGAAGAAAGCAACAATATATCATGTACTTCGAGCATTAAAACACTTAACACATAGGCATAAGTTCTAAGATTAATCAAATCAGACATGGAAGGGGTTTCAATTAAATTAATAAAACCCGAAATAGACATTTTTTTCTTGTTTTTTTTTTTTAAAAATCAATTCACGTCAAACAAGGTGATAATGCCACTAAGATGCAAGGGGCTACTGGGAATGAAAAGACTTTAGATGAAACCAGAAACCCAATCCTAAACAGGAAACAAGGGATAAACCTCTACTCCTGTTCAAAAGGACTGGGGAGTATCAGCCAAACAATAGACAAACTTATTAACTGCTATTGAGTAGAAAGAAAAAATATATATATATATATATATATATATATATATATATATTGTGTGTATTTAGACAGCATATTTTCATTTATACGTTTCATTAAATAATATAGACAAGTGTTGTCTATTTATTTTATGTAAAATTTTTCGTAACATCTGATAAGTTTGATAACATTATCATTAAACGAAGAAATATTGTGAATTTCTTTCTTAGATTTTAATGATAATGTTATCAAACTTATCAGATGTTATTTAACAAATTTTACATAAAATAAATAGACAAACTTGTCTATATATTATTTAATTACATATAATATATATATATAAAAACAAAGAAAAATCTTTTTACCTCATAGAGAATAGACTATTTTAGATGATAAAAAATGTCTGTCTTCTCAACCCATATATGAAATATATAGAATATGAATCTGAGAAGACAGACAATCATTTTTATGAAATATATATATATATATATATATATATATATATATATATATATTTAAAAACAAAGAAAAATCTTTTACCTCATGTAGAGAATAGACTATTTTGGCAGATGATAAAAGTGAATGTCTGTCTTCTCAACCCATATATGAAATGGAATTCACGTCTGTAGAATCTTACAAACATGAATTCCATTTCATGTCTGGGTTGAGAAGACAGACAATCATTTTTATCGTCTGCCGAAATAGTCTATTCCCTAGATGAGGTAAAAAGATTTTTCTTGATTGTTTATCCATTGGTCTGTATAAAAATACGTCGAGCTTTCTTTTGTGGATCAATTTTAATATTCTTATATTACTAAGACACACTTGGATTATATACCCACTGATTTTATTTTAATTTTACTATATAAACATAATTTACCTTGTGACCTGATGAGACCTCACAGTTGAAACCCTGGTTGTACAGAAAGTTAAAATATTTCATCATCTTCTGCTCTGCAAGTTCAATTTTCTGAATTGTACACCAAGCATTTTTTATTTTTAATACATCTGTCTTTGGCATGGTAATTCAAATTTCCAGAATATAATTTTGCCTTATTTGGTTACCCTAAATGATTCCCCCCACTCCCATTTCCTCTAACTATTCCTTTTCTTTATGCTATAGTAATTATGCTATATTAAATGCTATAGTAAAATTATAAAATTTCCTCTTCGTAGAATGTTCCTCTATTTTTTTTCCTTTCCTTTAATTCCTTTACATCCTTGTTACCTTATATATTTTTTTAGTTTTTCTTATGTTTCCCTATTTTTAATTCCTCCAATTAGGCTTTATAGGGTTAATAGTCCCTGACATTGTTATTTAATGCAAATTTTCCCCTTTAAGACAGATTTTTACCACTTTCCCTAATCTCTGTCTGTCGCCTATCATCTGACATATATCAAAAAGTGTGAACTCTCTATCAGGCCTTTTTGGCATGTTAAATTTTAGGTTGGCACTTTCCAGTATTACTTTCTGTACAGTTAACTTTTACTTCCTGCATCTTTAAACTCTACACTCATCTTGAAATAATTAGATCATCTGACAGGTAAAGGAAAAATACATATATGGGAATTAGTGGCGTCTAACTGAGGATTGTTTGAAAGCATTACTATTACTGTATCTGTGATTTATAAGGTCTCTCCTACAAACGGGCATTACAAAAGTGGCAATGAGGAATCGTTGAGCTTACACAAGGAAGAAATTAAATATATGTATCTTACATGTCATAATAGGATATTCAGTAATATTTTACCACTTCACCAAAGAAACGTGATATTTGCAGGACGACAGAGAAATAATCAGGCAAAGTTATTCAAAAATTAATCTACAAAATATTCAGTGGAGTACAGCAAAATGGAAGAATTAAATGCTATCATGATTCAAATGTTGGTGCTACAAAGACAACAAGAACAACAGTTGCAGCAACAAAAACTTCATGAACAGCAATTACAATTACAACAACAGAATTTTAAAATTTTTTTTACTAAAACTACGGAAGAAAAGACTTCAGATTCATTCACTCCAGATGCTGTTGCTAATTCAATCAGTGAATTTATATACAATCCAGACAAAGGAATAACTTTTCCAGTTTATTATAGAAGATCCAACAGGATCTTCAAAAGGGATTGTTCGCATTGGAATGATGAAAAGAAACTTTGTTTATTATTAAGGAAATTGTCCCCTGCTGAACATGAAAAATATGTGAATTATATTTTGCCAAAAAACCAGGTGAGATAAATTTTGATGAAACTGTGGCAATACTATCAAAATTTTTTGATGATAGGAGCTCATTATTTAATACACAATGGCAATTTCTTAACTTAGTTATCGTGTGGCGATGAAGATTTTGTCACTTATGCAGGAATCGAGAATGCGAGAAGTTCAAATTAAATGAATTAACTCTGGATTTATTTAAATGCCTGATATTTGTACAGGGTTTAACTAACAAGGACATGGAAATAAGATCCAGGATACTTGCTAAATTAAAAATGGATCCCAAATTAACTCTCCAGAAAATAGCGAAAGAATGTCAGCTTGATACCACAAGGATTGAGGAAAGAGACATTTCACAAGTACATAGTGTCTGACCATCTAAGAGAAAAGACTGTAGATGTTTTTCAACTCCTAACAGAACAGTAAAAATAGACAATAAACCCCCCTCTATACCTAATACTTGCCATGGTTGTGGAGGTAAGCATTTCAAAAGTAATTGTTTTTTCAAGAACAAAAAACATTACAAATGTGGGAGGGAGGACACAAAAGCTTGTGGCAGGACACAAAAATAAAAACGTGTGTGAACATGATAAATACATGGAGTAAAGATAAGAACAAAAAAGGAAAAAAAAAAAAAAAAAAAACATCTCAAAAGAAAAATTTTTTGTAAATTAATAATGAAAAATAAAAACAGGGAGAAAATGGGTAAACTGAGTTTATTGACTTCTGATAAATACATGGATTGAAAGATAACATTTCTTTTGTTGGAAAAACTATAAAATGGTGTTTGTATTAAAAATTTGCTAATTTATTTGGAACAGACTGGATTGCATTATTTGATCATTGGGACCTTCCAATTAACTCTTTTTGCAACAAAATATTGTTACTTCTGGTGCTAATACAGCAACTGAAAAATTAAAGAATGAATTGAAAAAGAGTTTTCCAGAAGTTTTCTCTGAAAAACTAAAAAAAAAAGACAAAAACTAAAAGAGAATGTAGCACTGACATTTAAGCCAAAAAGGAGTGTACCTTTTGCAGCTTTAGGAATTAGACAGACTGGAAAAATTAGGTGTGATCTCAAAAATAGACTATTCCAAATGGGCTTCACCAACAGTTTGCATTAAAAAAAGAAATAATAAAATCTGTGTATGTGCTGATTTTTCAGTGGGGTTAAATGATAGTTTAAAACAATATAACTACCTGTTACTAAGTCCAGAGGAAATTTTCGCTAAATTAAGTGGTGGTAAATTTTTGTCTAAATTGGACCCGTCAGACACTTACCTACAAGTATTAGTAGATGAGGAGTACTCAAAACTATTAACAGTTAACACTCATAGAGGATTATACAAACTTAACTGACTTCCTTTTGGTATAAAGGTAGCACCAAACATATTCCAACAGATTATGGAGACCTTGCATGCTGGTTTGGATTGTGCACAAGCATATTTGAATGATGTACTTATTAAAAGTAAGACCCGAAAACAACATATGGAAAATGTAAAAAAAAAGTATTTGAGAGAATTAAAGAATATGGTTTTAAGATAAGTAAAGGAAAATGCAAATTTATATCTAGGACAAATTATCGATGAAAATGATAGATGACAAGATCCTTCAAGGGCTAGCACAATAAAAGACATGACCACTCCAACAAATGTAACAAAGTTACAAGCATTTTTAGGGTTTGTTAATTACTATCATATATATATTTCATTGAATACGACAGACAAGGTGCTTTTTAGTTTTTTTATACAATTTCTTATGCAATCTAATAATTTTTTTTCTTTCTGGATGATAAATTATATAAAAACTATCCGAATGTTCTTTTTTATCTGAGCGCTATCGGCTATACATTTGGACAGTTTTTATATAATTTATCATCCAAAAAGAAAAAAATTATTAGATCACATGAGAATGTCTGTCATATTCAATGAAATGTACATGAAAGAAGGATTGCTGCCTAAATACACACACACACACACACACACACACATATATATATATATATATATATATATATATATATATATATATATATATATTAGACACACACACACACCCAAACATGCACAAATTAAGAGCACCCTTGAATAACCTACTAAAGGAAAGATGTGAAATAGAATTGGTCAGATAAATGTCAAAGCACTTTCCAAAGAGATCAAGAAAGTCTTAACGTCAGATTTGTCACTAGCTCATTTTAACCCTAAATTAAATATTGTGGTTGCATGAGATGCAAGTGATTTGGGTATTGGAGCTGTGATACTACACAAATATGAAGACGGAAAAACTAAACCAAAAACTCATACTTCAAGATCATTAATTGCAGCTGAAAAAAAAGCTACAGCAAGATAGAAAAGGAAGCATTGGCCATCATAATTGCTATGGAAAAGTTTCATAAATTCATACATGGTAGAAAATTCATACTACAGACAGACCATCGTCCATATGTGGATCAAAAAAGGGTGTTCCCACACATACAGCAAATAGACTGCAGTGCTGGGGAACTATCCTATTGAACAATAATTATAAAATGGAGTTTCTGCCATCCAAAGAATTAAGCCATGCAGACGGATTACCTAGACTAATACCAAAATTCTGCAAACCACTTGAGAACACAGTAATTGCAGTAATAAGAGCCAAAAATGAAATTAATAATGTATTATACAATACTGTAAGAGAAATGCCCATAACATTGGAGGAAATAAGAATTAAGTCAGAAAAAGACGACTTTATGGAGCATATCTAGTGGTAGTTGATAGTTACACTAAATGGCCAGAAATATTAAAATGTAGAAGACTGACTACCATGGTAAATTTCCTACATGAGATTTTTGCAAGGTTTGGTTTTCCTGACTCTATTGTTTCAGATAACGGGACACAATTCATGTCTAGTGAATCTAAGGTTTTTGTAAATCATTAGCAATAAAACATATTACAACTCCCCGTTATCATCTAAGATCAAACAGACAAGCAGTTGGTTTGTCAATATGTTTAAAAGGGCACTAAAAAAGTTGGAGGGAGAGGAGTCAGCTGAAGTAATGCTACAACAATTTCAGAGTTTTCAGAATAATACCAAACCCAAACACTGTGTCTGGAATGTCACCTGCAGAGTTGATGTCTGCCAGGAAGATTAAGTCAGTTTTTAATAAATTATTACCAGAATGTAAGGAAAGAGCATCAAGAAATAACAATATAAGTAACTATTTCAAACCTGGAGATAAATTACTTTTTAAAATATATCAATGTGGAAAAGAATTCTGGGAAGATGGCATTATAAAAAAACAAATCAGCAAAATGACATACATGGTACAGGGAGAAAGGTGGAAAGATAAGAGACACCTTAATCAGTTAAAACAGTCTCCAAAAAGAGGTACCTATAGAAATTTTGTATGACATGTTTGACATACCTGCGCCATCAGAAATTGTTGAACCAAGAGTAACAACAGAATTTCTAAATATTGAACTGAAGAGTAACAACAGAATTTCTAAATAAAAAAAAATTTAATAAAAGCAACAGAAATATGAACGCCTTACATTGCATTCTGTTTGGCTTTGGTCCAAGGTTCTTTGGCTTTCAATTGCAGCTGTTTCTTTCGACATGGTGGACAAGAACATTGCCTTTGAGATTTATGAGCTTCATCTGCCAAGAAGATAAAAAAAAAAAAAAAGGAAAGAAAAGAAACCTATTAATAATTACTGGCACACTTCTATGCAGTCTGTCTCATAAATATTTCAATACCTACTTTAGGCAGCTTATAAATTTATCACCAAGTCAAGCTTAGACTTTAATTAAATTTAATTCATTCTTATACAAGAAAGAAGTGAATGTTAACAGTTAATTTATTAATCACCCTTTTGCTACATTTCAATTGTTCAACACTTGATAAAACTTATAGCCTTTTGAGATATATACCAAGAACATTTTATTTTTCAAAATTTAATGTTTAATAATGCTAACTTTCTTACATATTAACGAAAGTTTCTCAAATTTTAAACCAACCATGATAAGCAACCTAAGAAATAATATTATCATTTCATTATTGTTTTCTACTTTCCCCCCTAATAAACTACTGAGGAAAACTGTAAATTTAACCATCACAATGAGCAAATATGTGCTTCAAATAAATAAAACTAGAAAACAAAATATAACAAGTTTTGCTCATTTCAAAGAATGTTTTTGTACTGAATTCAAACAGTGAACTTATTTTCAATTTCAGAGCATCTGACCCTAAAATAGGATCTTATAAATACACAAAATGTGAAATAGATTTTTCTATGTTAGAGACTTGCAACACAATTTTTTTTCTTTTTAAACACCTGTTAATTCTCACAAGGAAACTAATGAGGTGAGTTAAAAAAAACAAAAAACAAAAAAAAATAACCTTGTAATTTTTTTTCTTCCATATTTTCTTACAACCAGCGATAACCTATGCACACCAGATGTTCAAAAGTCTTAAATCAATCTAATAAAATTGATCATTCAACTATTAATGTACAGAATAAATGTCTCCAAAAGAATCAGCTAGTAATATTCATTTTGCAAAAACTTAAAGGATTTTAGCAGAAAGAAACAATTTTTCATAAAGTATTTTCTCATGTACACCAAAGCAAATGTGGTTATAACAGTACTAGATTACGCCATCAAAAATTGATGATATTATTTAAATAATCTTCTCACTGAATTAATTGCATTTAACAAAAATAAATTGTTGCTCTGAATTTTTTGTTTATATTTACATGTTGTGAATTATAATATTTATTGTAATGTTTTATTTAGTAAAAACCAAATTATTTTGGATGGGCTCATTTGGCCAGGGGAGTGGTGGTTCGCCCCTGGTTGGTTATAAAAGATGGACACTTGGGATAATCAGGTGCTAGTGAGTAGTGACTACTGATTGCCGTGCTGCTCCATTGGAAATTGACAACTACTCTATCATGCTGCAGAAATGAAATACATAAAACATTCCAGAATATTCAACTAAACAAATAAAAAAAGAAAACATTTATATAACAAGTTTTGCTGCTCATTTCAAAGAATGTTTTTGTACTGAATTCAAAGAGCGAAGTTATTTTCAATTTCAGAGCATAGGATCATGTAAATACACAAGAAATAAACAAATATTTTATTCCATACTGAATAATTATGAGTTTGATAGCACAAAAAGAGTCCACTGCAATTTGCACCTCTCTGTATATGATATAAGAAAGTATGTAAACATATATGAGGGTGCTGAAAATCAATTGGCTCAACCTACTCCTAAAATTTAACTAATTCACCGAACATCATAATTTATTTTTGAATCCTTTCTTGGTAAAGTCTAGAACTTTTCAGCAACTTCTCTCACTCTAGTGGGAAAATTGGATCCAAACCAGCCAGGCAAATGGTTGGATGAGCTTATAGAAGCCAATGACCAACATGCAGCTAGGAGATAGAAGACTCCTATTCAGAAAAGCCTGCAATTGTAGCATCATCTGAAATGTGACACAGTGCACCAGTATAGGACTTAAGTGATATGATGGAGAGAGTGTACATTGTGGGACATAGACAATTGACCACTTTAAACAATTCATTTGCACAGGCTGTTCAGTAAAAACTTAGAATTTACTGAACCTTTATCTGTCGGAAAAATTCATTCATATATATGTGTGTGTATTATAGTTATAAAATATTTAAGATAAAAAATGATGACAACTGATTTTAATTTTAAACTAAATGCTTACCGATTTAGTGAGTTTATTTTGTTCTTTGAAGCAAATGCCACCAAAAGATTAATACACAAACATTTGATAATGTCTTTGAGTATTATAACAAAGTAAGAACTGGGCATAAAAGAATTTAATGATAAAAAAAGAGAACAAATCCAATGTATGTCTTGTTTTTGCATTGAGTAGATGATAGAAATTCCTAGGTTTTATAATTTCTTATGAGCAACAAGATATTTCTAAATTAGTATGAGTAAAAGAAATATGCTAATAATGGAAACAAGGTAGAAACAAAAATTTGATAGCATATTGGATGAATGAACAGGTAAGAATTGCCCTGATTTCAGCTGGATCTCTCCAGATGCAAATTATAGCTCAAAGATAAATAGTGACACATTTTCATATATTGTAAAGAAAAATTGCATCCTACACACTGTTAAAAACAGTAATAAAAATCTCTCAATCTAAAAATACATTTGCAAAGTACATATACATGTATAGATGATACTGCTATTTTATAAAATACAAAACAAACATGTATATTTTGATGCAATGATGTCAATTTTATGATGATATTAATCTGAATTTTGATGAATAAGACAATGTTATAAAAATTTTAAAAGGTAACACATTAATATCAAAGAAATTATTTTCTGCTACAAAAATTCAAAATTGATAAAATATTTTTGTGAAATACTTGATTGTACTTTTTAAAGTACTTTTTTTTTTAGTAGCAATGAATGTTGTACACAAATCTTAGCATAGTAACTACTGAGATGACAGATAAAAGTAATATGAAATTTTTGCCCTATTAAAGTTATCCTGTTCATGTTTTCATGTAAATGAAAAGAACAAATCTTCCAATTTGGATTTCAATCAAAATGTAAGAAGGGGGCATTTTACTTTTTAAAAAGAGTAATACAAGACTTGTTGGTTTACTTTTTATAATCTATCTGCTATCCTTAACAATGTAACCAAACCATGTCATTTATTATTCCCAAAGAATAATAATTAAATCTATTTGAAAATAAAACCTGTAGAACCTTGAGAAGGTACTGAAAATTTGTGGTGCAACCCCTCTTCTAAAATCAGTATTTCAATGACCAAAATAGCAGAATACAGATGTAACTGTAACATGGAATAAGGATTATTAAAGCTTTTGTCTTAGAGATAAATAATAAAACTACACACACACACACACACACACACAAGCCCCTTCTTACAAAAAAGAGAAAACTCAATTCACATAATCAGTTTGTATGTCAGAAAATTCTCACCTAATATAAGTACAAATACAAGAAATATATACAAAGTTGTCTTGCTTACTAGTTTAACTTTTTTATCACAAGGAAATCCTTAGAGAATTAGACCAATTCACCTGTTAAAACTCCTGCTTCAAAATCAAATCAAGTAGGTAATTCCACTGGCAATAGACAATAACAAACTGCTTGCCATATATAAAATGTGCTTAGAACTCAAATTGCAAGCAGTTTATAAACTACAAATGTTTCGAAACAATAATAATGAATTAGAGTTAAAAATGATTTAATAACATTAAAATATAATTTTTAGTAGCTCTAAATAGATACACTTAAATCTTGCTAAATTGCCATCTATTTTTGAAGACAGAGATGAATGATAAAGCTGATTTGTCTTTTACAGCATCCACATATTGAGAAAGAGAGAAAAGATTTCCAACCAAAGCTCAAGAATCCCAATAATCGATCTTGCAAGGAATACAAGGTTCAAATAACTATAAATAAAAGAGCAGTTTATGATTAGTTTCAGAATTTAAGAAAAAAGAAAAGAATTATAGTTAAATTTATTAAACTTTCAAAAATACAAGTTCTTGCAAAATCAAGAAACTTTAATGATTTTCTCAAATGTATTAATTTAAGTTAATTATTTTTAGTGTAGTTATAAGAAAATCAATTACCAATTACTATTTAACAGCAGATATTCATTTAAAAAATTTAAAAGGAAAAAATCTAAAGATATATTTCCTGGTGAACAATGTATAGCTATTAAGATATTTATATCATAGACAAAGGCATGTAAACATAAGGAACACACCTTAAAAGGCTTGGAGAGATTATATACTTCATTATAAATAACTAACATATTTGAAGCTGTTTTTGCAACTTTATGCTACTGGGTTAGGAAACTTGATTTTATAAGTTTTGCAACTGTAATTTATAAAGTTCTTCATTGGTAAAAATTAGATTTATGAAACTCAAATTTAAAATAGATTTCTTTGAAAAAAAAAAAAGTTAGATGCTAGGCTAGAAACAAAATTTTCCTTTTTCAAACTTTTTAAAATAAAGTTACAATATGTTGTATAATGTAACTTAATCAAGATAAATACTTACTTTAAATGCAATGTAAAGTATCTTTTAATGATATGGTAATTTTAAAAAGGAAAAATATATATTTTCTGGAAAAAGGGACACCAACTGGATCAACAGTATTAAACCAGACAGATATTTCAAAAAGATTCTGAGCATTCAACTGAATCCAAACAGGATTTCTTTATAAATACCAAAAAATAGATCAATTTTAAAAGATTGTAAACCTTAAACTTCCACACTGGTATTTGTTCATATATATCACAAGACATCTCAATTTAAATTCTAAATGTACTGACACATGGTGTGACATTTAACTAAATGTCAAACCGTATGTCAGTTCATTTATGGTTATAAGTTGTATCACATGGAGAAGAAGCAAGCTTCACATCTGCTTTTACAATTAATTTTTTTTTCTGATATACAAGTTTTTAGTTTAATGGAGATTTAAAAGCTGACTAATAAAGGGAGAAAATGCACACCTTTTTCTTTTGAGAAAGTTGAGTGTAAAATAAATTTTGTGTAGAAAATCTGAAACATTTAAGACTTAGGTCTGATGTATTTGATAAATTAAAACCCACTTAAAAATATACTTTAATCCTAGACTCTTTCGAGGTATGATGTTATTTTGAACATTTAAAAATCTATAATTACAAAAGAACAAATAATTAACAATAAGCTTATGCAAATGATGTTCACTGAATTAAAAAAAATGCATATACGGTCTTGTGGCAAAACAGCGGTTTATATTACAAAGAAAAAGCAATTGTTTTCTATTTCTTCAGTAAATGCCATACGTGATACACGCTTGGGTGTTCATGTTTCTTTCGGACTGTAGGTTGCCGTTTGTTTCTGTGGTAGACTGGTTGCCAACCAAGGCTATCGTCTGTCTTGCTATTCAACCCATAGCTGAGGAGAAGGGGGAATAGAGATCGATTCATACCTTTCGCAAGGATATTTGCCCGTAAGTGAATGTAAAAGGTTCTTCGATCTTTTATTGCGAGACGATATTATTACACCACAATGAACATTACTGAACCTTGCATTAGAAGGTTAAAGATAAGAAAAATAAAAATGAGTAACTATTTAATTTTACTACGAAAAAGTTGTTAAAATTCAATGATTCCAATTTAAATTTTTACCGTCTATTATTTAATTTCATGTCTTCTTAGTCTACTACTTTAAAACTAAAATTATAGGCAATTATTTTGTTGACTTTATTTTAAAAAAAAACCCAAAAAACAGTTATACTTCAATTAAAAAAAAAAAAAAAAAGAATGAAAAAAAGAAAAAGAAAAAAAAAAGAAGTCTTTTTTAATTAAGTTTTAAATTCACCTGGTTTTCATTTCATTTGCAACGAGAGAAAAAAAAAATTCACATTTCTTCTTTGAGTTTTCTTAACTAAAAATTTTCTTGTATATTTAAATTTTGTTTTTAAAAAATTTTAACAAGGTTGAAACATTTTTTTTCATTTATTGATTGGTGCTTCTTAACCTTATGAGAAATATAATTTAAAAAAAAATCTTCTAGTAGAGTCAGTTCAAGTACTAACAGATTTTTAGTACACCTGAGGTACTTAAAATATACTATTGTTCACTATTATTGCTATTCGTATTTGTGTGCTACTAATAAATCATCTGCAATGCGTTAGTAATTCAATACACAATCTTTCATATCTTCTCTCTGTAAAAAAACAATTACGAACCCTCTTTTTAATTTTAAATCAATCAATAACAAAACTTAACAGATTTCCAGAATGAGTTATAAAAGTAAATCTTGACGATACACTCCATATATAAACTGAAAACATAAAGCATTTCGATAAAAAGCTCCAGTTGCAATATTGTTTACATTTTAAATTTAAATCGGGACAAGTGTCGAGGCTCTTTAGGTAATATTTGTTTGTAACCAACTGATATGTTTGAGCTTTTCTTATATACATCATAAAACCTAAACTGACGGCAGAATCAGTCTATTTTTAAATACTTGTAAAATCAGCGATAACTTAACGAAAAAAGAAAAAATTGTAAATATCTGTGCATTTTTTTAAATCAACACGTGTAAAGGACAACTTTCAAAAAAATCCTTTGAAAAAAAAAATAATAGAATTTTTTTTGACTTTTGAGAACGTACTTAATGTTTTTGTTGTAATTTATTGATATTTCACTCTAAATTTGAAAAACGATGGTCCATTTGTTATTGTTCATCTTCAGATCATAAAAAACAAGATATTAAAATTTAAAAAGAAAAACATAAAAAAATCTATAAACTCTTTTTTTATTCGTGTGTTGTACTACGGAATAGACGAGAAGCCGATAAAAGGTTTTTAAAAGCATCGCTTTAACTCGATAAAAAGAAATATAGATCTTTAAAATGATCAATAAACGTATTTGTTATCTTCTCTCAAGAAGAAAAATGAAAATCAATAATTTTATTCGCATATTTCCATTTATTGTACTTTTTACACCAAATCGAAAGTTAAGTTTAAAAAAAAAAAAAAAAAAGAGATAAAAAAAAAGCTGTTATTGCTACTAGAAATCTCTCTCTAATTCTTTGCAAAAATGATCGAAAAAGTCAGAATTTAATTAAAATTTGAATGACATTAAACTTGGTTTTATTACGAATACAAACGCAACGTTTTATTTGATGTTAAAATATCAAAGATGTTAAATTTCGATTTAAGATCCTTATTTTTCCTAAATAAAATGTTAAGAAGAGGGGTCAACCTTTTTTTTAAATATCCTTAAAAGTCCTTCTCCCCTGTGAGAAGAACTTTGAGTGTACAAAGTTATCAAAACCAATTTAATTAACAGGATTTTTTTTATTTTTCAATAATAACGACTGAATTTTGGTTTTTCAAAACAGAAAGCACAATATTTTGGAATATTAAACCTTATTGTACGTAAATAAAAAGTAATATAACTATATAATGAAACCATTTCGTTAGAAATATACGTCTTCACCGGATGTCTGACTCATACAAGTATTGTCATGTTACAAAACAGAACATATCTAAAGTCTAAATGTAGCATCTGGGTGATTTTAAAAATAGTATATTATTATAAGATTTAAAGCAATAGAAATCTCACATTTCTGTAGTATTTAATCAACATTACAAAATATAAGGATACTTTTTTATGAATTAAAAAAAATACAGAGAGAGAGAAAGAAACAAACATTTAGCGTCATTACACACATCACTAGTACTACATCATACGTGTCAGGGTCTCTCTTTCTGCAGTGAGCTTACAAATTAGACTGAAACTATTCTTAAGGGTAAGATTATGAATAAAAATTACTTACCTTTATTCGATTTGCGAGGAAAAAAGTAGCAGGTCGCAGAAACGATGGCGGCGAGCCAAAAACATAGCAAGAAATATAAAAATGTTCCTCCCTGCTCATCGTACTCAAACTGCATGCCCGCCATATTGGAAGCAGGCGGAAGTAGGTCAGTGGATACACGTGGAAGCCACCGACAAAAACCCTCACTGCTTTTTTTTCCCCCCCACTCTCCTCGGTTTATTTCATTTATTTTTAGTTGCTTGTGTGTTTGTTTCAGGTTCATTTATTTTTTGTTTATTTATTTTTCCATCAAATCATTAGCCTTTCAATCGAATTTTCTAGAAGTTTATTTTAACTTGTAAAGGTAAAAACAATTATCAATATTCTTTCAAATTCTAATAAGGAATAAAAAAAATCTTTAGAAAATCATTTTTTTTATGAAAATAGCAAAAAAAAAAAAAAAATTGACTGTGTTACACTGGACATAATGTTTTTTTATGATCACCACTTTAAGGAATTTGTCCCTAGTTCTCTCCTGTCTATAGATTGTATGTTTGTGCATGTAGAAAAGACTTTCAATAAGTTCTCTGAAAAAGTGAAAAATAAAACAATTTGGAATAATTTAGGAAGTGTAATTCTTTTCCATCTCTTAAACCACCATTATTAGTATAGTAAACTTTTATACAAGTTTACCCAATGTTCCCCAAACACTAAAAAATATACTTAGATGAATAATTTTATTTTATGAGCTCTACTTAAAACATAATGAAATTGCCAATCATGTCCCTAGACTGTACTTGAAAAGTAAGCAAATAATACCAGGATAGTTTGTTCATTGCTTAGAAACAATTCGTTAAGGGAAGGCAAATCAAAAAGTGTTTCTTACCATTCCTCTTTTTATGTTTATTTTAAATGGAAAGAATAACAAATTTCTCTCTTTAAACCATTTTATTAATTTTATTTATTTATTTACTATTTTTTAAAATAATATTGTGTTGTATCAAAAGTATTTAATTTTTTTAGTAGTCAAAGAAAATTTCTTAGAGATCCTGTATGGTTTTTGGAGCTTCAAAAAAATCATAGATCCAAAGAATTTTTTTAAGAAGTGTTTTGCAAATGTCCAATCAATGTTTTGCTTGCATTTCTGAGAGTTGATTGTGAACTTCTGGATGGTCCTAACCCTTCTAAATTTTTTCTGTTGGTGGTAGTCAGGTTTTCTTCTATTTTACATTTTAAAGCATCTTAATGAACAATTGATAATAGTCAAAGAACACATTAGCACCCTTAAGACTCTTAAACTAGTTTGGGGCAGTATAGTCACTTTCTGAATTCTGTGAGCATCTTCAGTGGCTTTGAGGCTCAGTTTAAAATAATGCTTCAAAATTATCTGTCATCATCTAAAAGAAAAGTGTACAGCTGAAGATTATTTGTTTATTTACTGGAAAAGAAATATATGAATCTCATCATACTACTACTACTTTGGAGTAAAGATCTGTCAAAATGAAAAATACTTTTGATGTGCCATGATATTTCTCTTATTAAAATTTGTAACATACATACAGTGGCCAAAGTTTATATATACAGGATGTTTGGAAAGTCACTATGCACTTATATTTTTTAATAACAGACATGTTTCAATATAGAATAAAGGAGAAGAATATGAATGAAAATTATAAACAATATTAAAAGTGACACCCATTAGCATTAATACAGGCTTGGATCCTTTCTATTTTGTTTCTGAACACTGCTATCAGTTGCTTGCCATTATTTTGTATGTGAAGAATTTTAATTTGTCTGATGGCCTTATGAGCAGTTCCAAGATCAATATCTTGCTGCTGCACTAACCTTCACAATAATTTTCTTGGACTCTGCTGCATACTGTTAGAAATATCCAACAGTTTCTCTTCTGATAGATTTGCTGGCATCTTACAATGTTTGGCATCGTCCACTGATCCTGTTTCCCAAAATTTATCAACAAGGTTTTGAACTGCATTGAGATGTGGAACAGGTACATCTGAAAATCCATCAGCAAAACAATGTTGCACCAAATCTGTGTATCTACCACCTTCTTGAAATATGTGTTCAACAAAAAATACATGTTTTTCAATTGTTAAAACCATATTAGGGTAAAATCTGAAAAATATGATTAGAAAAGTACACAATAACTTTCTGAACACCCTGTAAAATTAAACCACATAACAAAAGAAAAACAAGTGGAGGAAACTTGAAAAGACACACATAAAGAAGAGTGCTCAATGCCTTAATGGCAGAGCAAATTATACAAATCATAATTTCCGGTGCAGGTCTAACCAACTACAACTGTCTGTTTCCTGTGTGGCAGTAATGCATTCAAACCTGCACTGGGAAATTATGATTTGTATAATTTACTTTGCCTTAAGGCATTGAGCTCTCTTCTTCCCTATGTGTCATTTCAGATGTTCTCTATTTGGAGGTGCTTTTGTTTTGTGTGTGTGTTTTAATAATATATGCTCCAGCTATTGGGATTTTTGGATGGCTTGTTGAGCACTTTTGCCAGTTTGTATTTTATGCTACTTTGCTGTGGTGTTATTTTTTTCTCTGGCATTGGGCACATTTTTGATACACATTATTAGATTCCTGAAGAACTAATTAATTTTTTATCAATATGACAGATTTTATCACTTTGAATGTTCAGTTTCGTATCCAAACATAAACAAGGTAATTTCTAAAGAAGTAACAGATTTTATCACATTAAAAGATAGTGGATTTTAGTGGATACCTATATTTCTAACACTTTCGCCCCAGCCCCTCAACCTCCAGCGTCTTACCCTCGGGGTTGATGTGTCTACTCGGTCCTAACCGAACATAAGGGAGTGGCCGTAGGTCCCCTGAGCATCCAGTTGTGATTTGTTTGATCCAGAAAGCAGAAGTGATGTCCTTCCATTCACGGATGACTGAAGATGTAGACACAGCTGGGGAGTCTGTGCTAAGAAATTTAGAATGCAGCAAAAAAAAAAAAAAAAAAAAAATTAATATCTGCAGAAAGCTGGACAAACATCGATTCAATGGTTGAAATGGTAATGTCTTTCATATAGCAGAAAAGAATAGTAGAGAAGAGAAACGGGCTACAGAAAAGAAAAGTAAAAAAAAAAAAACTCATACACTGGATTCTAGACACAGAGAGAGAGTCTATGTGATTATCTTGTCGTTAAATTGTCTCAGAATGATATATGACTCTTGCGATGGAGGGATAAACATTTCTGGGCTTAAAGTTATAGTGGCGTTCCTCCTCCCAATGCAAAATTCCCAAAGAATTTTCTCCCATCTGTTTTTTTCAGTATAACTATGTGTTTATATAGATAAACCCGGCTGGCTACAACTGACCCTCGGCCCCACCACTTCGCATGCGATTATCACGGGGTTTGGGCTGCTTCAATCAAAATCATGTGGATTCCAAAGTTCCTTCTAGCTTACTCAGCTCTATTTCAATTTTTAATTGATAAAAATTATTTCGACCATTTCCATTGTTTTCTGATGATCAGATTCAATGGGTACAACTTCTGTCCTAGATCAGATTTTCCCGTCAGTAAACAAAATGCTCTTATTTAATTTCGCTATTCAAATCTACTCCGATTTCACTAAAAAAATATACACGTGTGTGTGTGTGTGTCTGTGTGTGTATTTCCCAGACTCTCTCTGTCACAATTTGAGTAGATGCTACGTTAGTTTATTAAACAGTATATTTATTTATTTTTGTCTAGCAGTTTAGATAAAAAGTAATTAAATATACTGTTTAATAAATAAATGAGGCATCTACTCAAATATGGGTATCCACTAAAATAACATTTAAAGTGATAAAACACTGTTAAATGTATTCTAGTGTGTGTTTATGTTTGATTTTTTAAAATTTCAATGACTTTATGGTCATTCCATTCTCAGCCATTTGGGATTCCTTCTTTAGAGATTTTGGTTAATGAGTATATATATATATATATATATATATATATATATATATATATATATATATATATATACATCATATATTCACCAACTACTCTTATTATGACATCTTGTGTTAACCAAGGTGGAAATAAAATGCTCAGTTCACTGAATGTCTGATGAATGGATGAATGTGTGACTAATGGTCATAACCATTTAGACCTGCACTGGAAAATTGTGATTTGTATATAAATATATATGTGTGTGTGTGTATGTATGTTCAAAATTTTATATATTTATTGAGGAAGAATGCTCAGTATCAGAGTTAAAGAATTTATAGATAGTGTTGATTTCTATCTTCACACATACACATATGTATATATACCAATGCGATCCTTATACTAGGTCTCAATACTGTGTTGACGTCTGTGAGTGACTGGGGGCAAACTGTTAACATGTGAAAGTTTGCTGCTGAAATTGGATTATGAAATTCATTTTTTTGTAAGGAAATTTTTACTTTTTACCTTTGGATTTAGATTATATAAGAATAAGATACTGAAGTAAGTATTTTATTTGAATTTGCATATTTTATCTTTATACAAATTTTTTCGGTACAAAATTCATAAGTGCCATTTAAGAATTCATAAAGTTATTGTTCTTCTTCAATGAACATATTAAGTATAAAATTAATTTTTTTATGAATAATTTATGTTAACAGAACAAAGCTTTTTTTTAAAAATATGTTGAATTTTTCTGTCTTTTGTAAGACATTTTAAAAAATGTAACATTTTTCTTTGCAAAATTAATGAAAAATGACACTTACTAATGAAGAATTTATCATATAGTTAATGTCAAAAATTAAAATCAATAAATAAATTTATTAATATTTTGCAACTATTCTTAAAAATATAACACAAAAAATATAAAAAGGAAATTATCCATTGTCTGTCAATATCGTCTTTCTCTTTTTTACAATTTTTGCGATTATTTTAAAACATTGAAAATCACAAAAAAATGTCATTAAGAATTTATCACCAAAAGTTAATTTAATTTTTTTTCTCTATGCTACATCAATATCTTGATTATAAAATTCATTTTTTAAGGAATAATGTGCATTTAAAAAAAAAATTGAATAAAAATTTAATTTAATATATTTTCTATAATATTATTTGGGTAATTTGCTTTTCAAGCCCTGTGCTAAGTATCTAATAAAATTTC